TTCTGATATTCGATGGACCAGGAAACCACAGCATTCGTGAGAATGATAGGCTCCTCCGAGTAAGTCGAGTAAAACGGAAGGCGCACCTCCCATCATTACAAAATATAGAAATCGATCCAATTCGCATCTGCTTCGAGTGGCACATGCATTGAACGGTCCACAAACATCACAAGTGAAGATTATCGGTCAGTTGTCAGGTAGGCCAAGGCTCACCCAATGCTTCTTTCTCCGACTCAGTTCCCACAGGGAAGTAAGTCGCGGTTCGTCGCGTCGGTCCTCCTGCGAACATAGCACGAGCATGCATCCGACCGAGGGTCGAAACATGTGAAGAGTCCAAGGCTTCTTGCCAAGGAATCGAAGAAGGGAACCCAGCTGACTAAAACTAAACAGGTGGAGGTGCCAGAGTCGACGATTTGCGAGTTAACATCCACGACAACTGCTCGGTACAATATCGGACCAAGGATCAATGATCTAGCGAGGGAAAATGCAAAAGGGAGGCTAAAAAAGGCGGGCTGTCATCATAGGGGAAGATGGCTGTATCACGCTGTTTTCGACCATCCGAGGAGCTACTGGTCCAGCAGCGGACCAAAGACGTGCTGGACGAATGCAAGGGAGCTTCCAAGTTTACAATTCAGTTTGGCAACTCTTCACACATAAGGCAAAGGTCGTGACAACAAACTGCCTCAATACAACAGACGGGCTCTCCCCTTGATCTTTCAAGTCGACTCATAAGCATCATTCTGGCTCATAATGGGGTGGGATGGACTCACCTTGCCTCACGATGGGGGAAAGAGCCTCTCGTTGGCTGTCTGTGTTTCAGGGGATACAGGCAATACGTCTGTCTCAAACCGCTATAAGTATCCTGTATAAAGGAACGGCGGACTGTTAAGTAATGTCATGACTTGCCCCCCCTCGTTTCTGGGAGACTCCTGGAGCCTTCTCTCGATCTGGTGGATTCGTGCAGCCCAGCACCAGTGATATCACAAGGCCAATGTAATCAGGCCGACCTTCAGTTCTTGATAATCACCTCCTAACCTAGTTATCCTGTAGAATGTACGACGTGTGTCAGAAGACTGACTGTGTTTCGATTGCTGGTTCTTTTGCTCCAATGATTTGAAGTACTGGAATGCCAAGACCAGGCTCATTGGCAACTGGACATCACCAACAGTGGTTCATGAGGAGGTGCCTTCATGGATTTGTACTGATGCGCTCATCTGCAGCAAGAAATGAGTGGCAAGAGAACGTGGACTAGTAGCATAAACTGATGCTGGCTTGTGTCGCTTGCGAGAATGACACGATGATGCGTTGTGTGTATGGAAAAACTTGCGTCAGTCTTGATCGGTGACTCAAAAGACCATATTTACCAACTGCATGACGCGAACGCCCCAAATGCATCTAGGGGAACTATGCGAACACTGAGAACAAAGGCACTGTCGCCAATCTGACGTGCCTTAATATAGTTGATTGACTAGGAACTATTGGGTTATTCTAGTCCTGGGCGAAGCGCGTGCCAGGCGCCAATGTGGGACAAGTTGACGAAAGGCGTGCAATGATTTGGCCCGGGCTCGATTTTGCGCGTGTCAAAACGTCCACAGTGGACATGTAAGGTGCCTAAGAATGCAGGCCGCTCAACTACGAAAACCTGACAGAGCGGATGTCGTGGAGGCCGATGGCCAGGTTTGGGTGCAGGGATTGTGTCATCCATCGCGAATATCGATGATACACTGTGGGAGACGCGAGCCAGATCCACGAGAGAGAGTGTGTGCGTGTCTTACGAGTTGTGAAACGCATAGGAGGGCAACCCGCCACACCGTAGATCACCATTAAGCGACCACGAGATTTTTCACCGAGTTAAAAATCCTCACTACTCATTACTTCCTTGGTCCTGGTGTCTCCTCAGCTCTTGTGTTTGGTGATTTGGGGGCGAATGGTGCCACCTCTGACCCAATTCGGGTCTTCCTGCCGTTGTCGGAACACGCGCCTGACTCACGCTTTTGGCACATCAGTACCTGGGAACGTGTGGGAACAAAGATTCCTCATTTGTCAGGATACCTTTACCGGAATTCTCGGGAGTTGTTATTTTTTCCCGCAATTCCGATTCTCCAAACGGAATTCCCGAGAGCTCACGCTGAACTATGCGTCTTCTCGTCCTATCATCACGATTCACCGCTTGTCCTTCTAAGACACCCCTTCAAACCAATCCTACCCCAAAGCTGCAGTCTTTAAGTTCGCAAGTTCGCTCCGGTGGAACCAACAAAAACACTCAATTGCGACTAAATAGGTGGCGAATATCTGGAGATACTGGATCTGAAATATCGCATTTTGGGAGTCTTTCTGATCAACTCAGGTGCTCATGCTGCTGCATCTTACGGAATTATTGATCGCAACAATCACAATGTGTCTCCAACATGCAGCGCTTTCTGGCGAAAGCGCAGCATGAAATCAGCTGTATTGAGCTCATCTACGGGTGCCTCGGTGCAGTTGTGGACGGAGTCTCCACGTTCAGCTCTTTGTCCGTGCGTGGATTTGTCATAACATCCATACATTCTGAATGCCATTAATCGGACCTGCGTTCAATAATCACAAGCCATTCAGGTGCAGCATAATTGTTTCCTGACTAAATCAACTTGTCCTCGAACAGAACCCCACTTTCCCGCCTGTTCTCTCCTTACCCCGTCCCTCCATATCACACCCTCGGTACTTGTAGCGGCATATCTTACGAGCGTTTTCTAGTTCAAATGAGGCCAAACGATGCATGGACGACCGAGTTGTAGCGTCAGCCGGGGATCTGATATCAAGTTTTTCTTTTGTTTCACAATTCAGCGCTAAATTGGCACCTGGCAGCTGCCGTGAAGAAGGGTCTGAATTGGCCAGAAAGCTATAAAAGAAAGGCTTGAGGGCGTTGTCCTTTTGTCAACTTCACCCTTCCCCTTCACTTGCAGCTCTCATCTCTCCACCAGCCTGTCCATGCTCGCAAAGTCCCCACCAATTTGTTACTATTCACTCCGCCTCTATCCAACAACACCCTCCACAACCCTCTCCCCACCAATTAGCTACTACCACCATCCATTCCACGTCACGACCTCGCCGCCACTACGCTATATACCCTGGATCCCAGCATGACCGTGCTGGTGACTCCCCTTGCCACTTAGTTACTATTACCATCTACTCCGTCTCCACGTTGGGACACCCATCATTATGCTCCTAGCCCAGCACAAGTGTGCTGGCATCCTCCCATCACCACCGACACTATCCCCACCTTGGGACGTGGGGATTCCTCCACCACTTATTCATGTTGAGCACCACTACAAGATTAGGTGGTGTTCCCACAGCGTCCATGTATACATTGCGGAGTGGTCATCACACCACCCCGCTCCTCAGTTTGGTTTTTCACACAGGTGTACGTTGTTTGATTCACCATTAATAAATCCATTACTGACTTGAACCATCTTGCATCTAGATGCATCGTATTTTTTGGGGGGTGGGGCACCCTATCGGGGCGCTGATCATTTGATCAGCGTCGGTATGATCATGTTCCCGCGAGTGCTTGCACTCGTTGATCGTGCCCCTTTCCTGTCTTGGGTGGGTATCCATTCTGGTGATGGTGCCCGCCCAGCAGTCAAGGCCGTAAGTACCATCTTCCTTGCTGTGTGCTCGACCATTCTGAGATCCTCACATTTGTAGGGAGTTTACGTTCCTTCGATGCTATGATGAGATGTTTGTGTCTCAATCCTGGTGAGTGTCAGATGAAGGTCGCATCGACCCCATCCTGATGAGTTGTCTTTCAGTGTCAGCTGGCAATGTTATCCATCCGTTTCTTCGTGTGATGTTTCAATCTCAGCTTGTAACAAAAATATTGTAGCAAAATATCAATACAACCCATAGTTGATAGTAATCGCATTGTATGATGCGGAATCAAATGATGGAGACGACTTTAGTACGCCCGTGCGCTGCTGTCACGACCTGTCTCGAGACAGAGATGGATTGAATTATCAAGGAAGGGAACTGCATCGTTTTCTTCCATACTGTAGGCAGATTATCTTTCTTCGTAAGTTTGTGATGGACACTCCCCCACCACCTGTAGTGACAGGCTGAAATAATTTATTTAGATCACCGTTTGTGGCGTTCACAACACTGACATCAGCCCGAGGGCTGAGACTTCTTCCTGGATGTTAATGGCAAGAGCGACCTGACGCCGATGCATACATTCATGCCCTTCCGGGTGAACCCCTCTCGTATATGTTTGAACTTCGGGTCGACTCCATTTCCTGGGAGAACTACAGCGGCCGGCACGCTAGGAGCTTTCGGCCTTGTCTCGTCTTGGTGGCACCAAGTGGTTGTTTCGACACCCCAACTTTGGCGTATAATCGTCTTCTGTTATAGTCGAATCAAGCGCTCATACTCCAGTTTGGCCGCTCTTCAGCGTTACCTTGACCACTCCAAAAATGCATCACTTAACTGTTGATTTCCTGGACACGTTGATGATGGGGAGAGCGCATCCAATTCAGTGTGGAGATCTGACACTACTGTCAGTAAGCTAGGAACGAATGAGTAGCCGATGGACAATGTGGTAGTTTCGTAGGCAGGTTACCAGCTTCTATTAGTATAGAGTGGTTTCGGTGCTACACGCGTACGGGCATATTTGAGGACTTGAGGACCGAGAAGATGCACCGTAATGCCAGTTCTGGTGGCAGGCGCGGTGTCCGGCGTGCGAAGTTATATGTTGAATGACTAGACATGTCACATTCGGGTGCGGCTACGATCATCATCATCGTGATCCATGCAGACTGTCACTGGATGATAATCTTAGAGGATGGGAATTTCACTTGGGTTTGCGGTTTTCAAGTCAATGATGTTGTATGCTGCCCTGCGCTTAGCCAATTTGCACCTCTCCTGCTCGTCATTCTGTTGCTGTGCGATAAACCCATCACTGCGGTCACCTGACCAGTGTGGGAAGGTATCAGTAGGCTCGTGGCGGTGCAGTTGCTCTAAAAGTCTTTGATTTCAATGCCTAAACGCCAATGGAACAAAGAAGACAATAAGGGAGGCTCCCCGCATAAGAAGAGGAAGGCCATCGGGTCTAAGGATACAAGACCCACCATCTCTGATTCTCCAACCCAGAAGATCGTGTCGAGCTCGAATGCAGCCCTGACAAATGACGAAGCAGTGAATTTTCCTCGAGGGGGTGGTTCTGGTTTATCGAAGTTTGAGCTAAAGGTTATACGTTCTCAAGCATCTAGAGATGTTGAGCAAGCACTTGTGAAGGTATGTGCATTTTGTTTCTCGCTCTGTGTGTCTGTGGCTGCTGCTCAACTCATTGGATTACTTGCTTTGGCAGAGTTCTTCGTCGAGGAGTGAGAAGAATAAAATGCGGTTGTTAGCTGCAGCGCAAAAGGCGTTCAATGCCAAGGATACTGATAAGGGTCAAGCAACTATAGCCGCACCAGTCCTTCCGGAGGACGACCTTGTTAATGATAGTCACGTCGGGAAGATCCATCAACTTGGGTTTGAGGTAAGCCCAATATACTTTGCTTCACTGGCTTCATATTGAGCCATCAAATGCTACTGCTATTACGCCACCTTCAGAATATTTCCGTTGGACACTCGGTGCTCTGTCAGGTGACATTCATACATCCACTGGCCCTGATCGCATCTCTTCCCAACGGGTTAACGGGCCATATACCAATCACACAAATATCACCCACTTTGACTCATTTACTCGTGAAACGACGCGAACTGCTGCAGAACGCAGTGGACATTAACGATAACGCAGAAACGGATGGCGACGACGAAACGAAGGAGTTGCCTCATTTGTCCGAAATGTTCTCGATAAGGCAGTATATACCGGCCGTGGTGACTGGACTGCATGGTCCTGGCCAAACGGTCACAGCCAGTGGGAAGGATTTGCAGTTCTTGTACGAAATTTCAGATGAAAACGTGAAGGGCTGCGCCCGAATTGAGCTGAGTATCGCACCGGATATAGTGAATGAAGGAGTTTCGGACCGTGATGTAGTTGAAGGCTCAGTGAGTGACCCACTCTATGCATATCTCTGTTGCCGAGTGTATTTTTACTCACTGGACATTCTTCCCCAGCTTCTTTCGGGTGCAATCAAATCGGTAGAGGATCATGGATATATTGTCGATTTTGGCATAAACTCTCTCTCAGGATTCCTTCCTAACCAGGTGACTCCTGCCGTTGCACCAGTCGACTCACTGTCCCCAGTACAGAACGATGAGGATGGTGTACGGCTTTTCAAGGGTCAAGTTCTGTTCATTCGCGTTATTTCCATTGCGCCCAACCGTCGTATCGCTACCCTTGCGTTATCATCTTTAGGATCATCTACAGTGATTACCGATGTCTCGCAGCGTTCATCAATAATCCCAGGGTCACTCGTATCAGGACGCATTACTTCGATGCATCCAGACGGTTTGGTGCTTCAAATTTGTTCTCGATTTGGTGGCACTGTAACTCTTTATCACACGGGGTCACCCAACGAAATCAAGGATCTTGAAGAAACGTTCAAGTTAGAGAAAAGCGTATGTCATTATTTGCTATTACACTTAGCTAATCGTCACAGCTTCTATTAGTTGGGTGCACGCATCCTGTGGAAATCTTCAAAGACCTTTGGTGTTTCTCTGTTGCCTCACATCCTTGCTCTCGAGCCTGCCACAGTTTCACAACACGCTGTAACCCGCCCGGGCAACGCGCGGAAGGCAGCATCGAAAATTCGCGAGGAGCCCAGTCCCACCAAGGTAGCCCTTGGTGTCGCATATCCGATTGGAGCGATCCTTGAGCATGTTTCGGTAATCAGAGTAAATAGCACCGGTCTCGCTTGCGAAATAGTGGACAAGCAAGGGCGATCACTGGGAGTACCTTGCGATGCTCATGTGAGTTTTTGTACCCTCAAACCTTGAGAGATCTGATAATTGTTCAATATAGATGTCGAATATCTCGTCTACGGAAATCGCTTCTCTCTCTAGCACTTCGGGTCCCTATAAACTTGGGAGTAGACACAAGGCTCGTGTTATAAGTATATCACATATAGAAGGTCTCCTTCTAGTTTCCTTAAAAGAGAGTGATATCAAGCAAGCACACTTCTCCATGTCGGATGTCAGAGTGGGTGAGATTGTCGAGGTACGTAGGTCGATGCCATTCCGAGACATTTCACGTACATATTCTTTAGGTCACAATAAAATCAATTTCCACTACTGGCATAGTTGGGTCAATTTCCGATACGCTACCTGACGTTACGATTCCGCCACTTCATTATGCAGATGTCCCCCCGGAAAAACTGGAGACCCGGTTCAAGATCGGAGAAATCGAGAAAGGAAGGGTAAGAAGATTGGATATGGCATTTTAAGGTGACTGATCCTTGTTCCAGGTACTGACTGTTGATCCGGGGAATGGTCGCATCACACTCACTTTCAAGGAAACATTGCTGAGCACAGACCTCCCCCTCATAATGTCCGTTGGGGATGTCCAAAAAGGGATGCTTTCTCATGGCGTGATACTGCATGTGGGACAAAAGTCCGCTTCGGTCGCTTACTTTGGAGGTGTGAAAGCAATCATACCGATCAACGAGGCTGGGTACGTCAAAATGCAGCAAACTATGCCATTTTCTGTTCTCACTTTAGCAGAGACGAGCCCCTTACTCTGGGGCAAATTGTGAGAACGCGAGTCATTCGTGTAGATCAGGAAACAGTCATCGCAAGTGTCCGTCGAGCAGCCCCAAAGTTCTCCCTTCCCTCTGACGTCGCTACCATCCCCGTCGGCTCTCCCGTTCATGGGAGAGTATCGGAAATATTGTCGCAAAGGATAATGATAAACTTAGAGCCGTCAGGTGTACGAGCGTTGGCACGGATCGGGCGCCTCTCTCGGACCTGGGGACTTACTCCCGAAGCCGTAAAGGACAGTGTTAAGATTGGAGATGAGCTTGACAATCTCAAAGTCGTGGACACGAACAGCACAAAAGGATTCGTTGTTGTGGAGGCCACTGCTGACACCACCCCAATCCGCAAGGGTACTGAACAACCGAGCACTCATGTCGCGGCCGAGGAGGTGGGATTTTCGGGCCCCACCGCCTTGGATGCTGAGCGAGAGGAGGCTGACCACTCGCGCAGTGGAGATGATCAGCGAATACCAAAATCGGATGGAATGCCAAGTTTACCGGGTGTTGTAGGTCTTCAACTCTCTTGCATATGATCAAATATCCATATTCCCGTTCACAGGTCCGGAGTGAGGAAGGTGGAGACAATTTCCCTTTGGCCCCTTTGCAAATCGAAAGTGGATTCAATTGGGGCCGACCATCGACTTCGAATGACGTGGGTGTCGAATCAAGTTCTGAAGAGGAGGATGCGGATGCGGAAACTCGCGATGCTAAATCTCGGAAAAAACGGCGAAAGAAGATCCAGATGGACATGACGGTGGAGATGCTCACCAAGACTCCGCAATCCACCGCGGATTTTGAAAGGGTGCTTCTCGGTTCACCCAACTCCTCTTTCCTTTGGATTCAATTCATGTCATTCCAACTTCAGTTGTCTGAAGTTGAGAAAGCCCGACAAATTGCCCGTCGAGCGCTCAATACAATCAATTTCCGTGAGGGAAAGGAGAAGCTTAATGTTTGGATTGCTTATCTCAATCTTGAAATTACTTTCGGCACAAACGAAACAATGGAAGCCGTATTCGCTGATGCTTGCCGGTACAACGATTCGAAAACCGTGCACCTACGTTTTGCCGCCATATTGGATGGCATACAGAAGCATGAGGTGGGTTCAAAGTAACACGTTTGAGTCAAGCGATGAACGCCCGTTCACAGAAAGCCGAAGATATTTACAAGCGTGCGGCGAAGAAATTTAGCCGAAGCTCCAAAGTCTATACTCTCCTTACCGAACATTATCTCAAGAAGGGTATGTTTAACGAGGCTCGAAATCTTCTCCCTCGCAGCCTCAAAAATCTGGAGAAGAGGAAACGTAGGCTACCTACCCCCCATACCTTTTTTGGTCCCTTACTCACCTCCCCGCAGATCTCAAGACAATCTTAAGGACAGCCCAACTCGAGTACAGCTGTGGAGAACCTGAACGGGGGAGAACACTCTTTGAGGGGATCGTCGACTCTTATCCTAAACGGCTCGACCTCTGGTCGGTATACATTGACATGGAGGCATCAAAGCGGAATATGGATTTTATTAGGTGAGTGCAGTGTCAAGCGTTCTATTTGGCTCTTGAGCTCTGCCCCCCAAGGTTGCTCTTCGACCGTATTTTGTCCCAAAAGTTAAACAATGTGAAAGCGAAGTAAGTTCTACTTGTCCTTGAAACGCACAATGCTGAGACTGTGCTGTAGGAACACCTTTAAGAAATGGTTAGCCCTGGAGAAGAGGGTAGGGACTAAAGAGGGCGAAGATGCAGTCAAATCCCGTGCCATTGCTTGGACTCAGTCCTCAACTGGGTCATAAGTACACAAAAATAAAAACGCAGGTACTAGTTATACATTAGGAATGGGTAATATGAGTCTGAGCATGATGAAATTCCGAAGAAATGCCGCGAAATGAGTGACTAGACGATAGCTGGATACGTGTCTGGAGCCAGAAACAAGCGGAAGAGGGTGAAAGCTAAGGAGAGTGAAGGATCACTATCGGGGAGACTTATTTCGTAATAAGGAGTGTGCATGAGATGGTGGTTCTAAATGACTAAGGCGACGCGAATTTGACGACGCTGCGAGCCAGTCGTCCAATTCATTAGACAGAGCGTCGAAAGCCTCCGCATTCTCGGAGGTGGGGTGGATACTTGACCCTCCGGACAGTTGTATGTCTCCGCCTCGAGATATCCCAGGCTGGTCGACGTCCAACAGCAAACCTATGCGTTGCTGTAGTAATTCATTTTCACGCTTGAGAGCTGCGTTGGCATTGTGGAGTTGTTCTGCAAGGGTCTCGCTACGTCCTTGCTGAGCAACCACCAAGGCGGCTTGGAGCCTGTCTATCTCACTCTCTAAATCTCGATTTGCTGGGCCTTGAGTTCTGCATCTCTGGAAGCGGCAGCTACAGATTCCTGAAGATGTTCCATTTCTGATTGCACGCTAGCCACCTTCTTATGCAATTCGGTGTTTTCAGCAGTAGCACGCTGGATACGACGGTGTGCTTCCGCCAGCTGGTTTTTAAGCGTGTTCTCGTGTCCTTCGTCGGATAGCGGGGTGATTCGCCCGTTGACCACACGGGTGCGAGAAGACGATTCTGACGAAGGTCGAAGAGCATCCAATTCAGCCTGTAGCGAGTCATTCAGATTTTTCTGTCGCGTCTGTTCTTCCCGCATCTTCCGGCATATCTTCTCGGTTTTGCTATGTATCCATCATCAATGAGAAGTAAACGGAGCAACGAAGGTCAGACATACTTGACATAATGAACAGCTGTTTGATAGTCAGACTCCATCTGCTGGAGCCGTTCCTTGTGAGCTTGTTCAGCCTCGGCAAGCTGCTTTTCTGCTGCTTCGGCACGGGCAGTGGCGGATGATAAAGGGATTGACCCCTGGATGAAGAATCAGGTGGTAATACCTCCAACAGCTTGTCCTCAGCAACACGACGAGCTGCTTCAGCCGCTTGAAGTGCTCGATCACTCTCTTCAAGCCGACGCGACTTATCCTCGAGCTCCTTCGTTAAACCCCGGAGCTGAGCGCTGGTGATAGTTGGTTGGCCACTGACCCGCTCCGCCATCAATTCTTCAATATCGACGTTGATATCATTCTCTGCAAGGTGTTGCCGCAGAGTTGATAACTGTATTTCCAGTTCTGTAGCTCCCCGCGCGGCTTGATCTAGCCGAGCATCTCGTTCAGCAAGCGCCTTCTGAGCCTCGCTCGAACGGCCAATATGATCGGCTAGCTGGCCTCTCACGCCTGCCAACTGCGAACGAAGCGTCAGCTGCTCGGCTGTAAGCTCACGGTGCTTGCGTCTATGGTCTTCTATTTCAACCTGTGTTTCCCCATTCTTCTGTTCGAAATCTTTGAGCAGATTTCGAAGCTTGGAGACCTCCTGCTCAAGAGCAGTAATCTTGTCTAAATGTGGCTGAACAGCTCGGTCCTCATCTGCTTTCAGGTCCTTGTGTAAATCAAGGAGCTGGCCAAGTTGACCGGTCGTTAAAGCACGGAGAGAGTCTGCCTCCTCTCGTGCCTTGGCCCAGGCGTCCTCTGTCTCCAACAAACGAGCAGACGCAGCCTCGGCCTCGAGGGACTTTGCCTTAGCCTCATTCCGCAGTTCCTCTTGCTCTGATTCGAGCTGAGCAATGCGATCCCATGTCTGCTGCAGTTGGATCTCCGCTTCTTGTCCACGCGACGCAGCCGCTGTGAGGGCCACCTGCATCTGCTCGAGAGTACGAAGGTGTTGATCTCTGGATTCAGTTAGCGCGGTGATCTGGGATTGGGAACGAGTTCTTTCTGCCTCGTGCTGCTGTGACAAAGAACTCAGAGAAGCGAGGTTACTGGCATGATCTCGAAGCGTTACGGATGCTGAATCGTGCTTCCTTTGAAGCTCGGAGTGATCACGGACAAGTTCGGAATAAAGTGATTCGATCCTATCGGCATTTTGAGTGGCGAGAGTCCTCTGTTCGTCTGCCTGCTCCCTAAGTTGCGTCTGGGTCTGCAACGCTTCGGTCAGGTTGTCAATCTTCCGCTGAAGTACGTCACGGTCATTCTTGGCGTAGGCAAGCTGTCGCTCCAGACTCAAGGTACGCTCTTTATCAAGGCGCGAGAGGTCAGTGGAAGACCTCGAGTCGTGCGCAGCGAGCTTAGCACGATAAAAAGCGGCTTCTTGCACTGCGATGCTCTTGATGCGCTCCGCCTCTGCAAATTTCTCCGACAAAGCTCGCGCTTGCATCGCGAGGTCGTTCTGCAACGAGTGATCAGGCTAAAGCGAGCTATAATAAAATGCGGGATTCACCTGAATGTCTGCATGCTCTTTCTTAAGCGCGAAGACCATATCAATCACTGTCTGACGATCGATGTCCTCATTGACAAGAGTAGATGGTCCGAGCGACTCCGTAATATCACTATCAGGCCATACAAAGCCCTGATTCGCAGCTTTTGTCAATGCAGACCTCATCCAAGCCTCTCTTCTCTTCAGCACTTCAATTTCACTATTCTTTGACCGCAATTCTCTAACAGCGTCGGCATTTATGACACCATTGATCGATCCGTTGGGGGTATGATTTCCTGCTCGGCTTGCAGGATGTACTGAGCCGCGCGGACGGAATGCATCGGGCGGAGGTGACGTGGAAACAACAGGTGAGGGACTGCGCGCTGCGAGACGATTCGACAACCCGCCAAGCGTTGAGCTTGTCGACTGTGGCCCACTTGTTGGAGATGCCGCGCGAGTATTAGTGTTAGTGGGTGTAGGACTTCGAGCATTCTTCGATTTGGACGGAGCCGACTGTTCAGGCGAAAGTGCACCCTCACGCGACCGTGGACCTTCCTTTGATGAGCTCCCGAGCCCATCATCATCACTTCGCTCCACTAAACCAGACTCTGCATCATCTTCGCGACGGGGGCGTGTTGGATATGCCTGCGCGGGGCTACGTATTCGTGTCCCGTTTGCTGGTTCTGCTCCGGACGAACTCGTGGGGAACGGTTGCATCACCTGAGATTGCGCAAGGACCCCGTTTTGCTGTCGGATTCCTTGGGTAGGCGACGCGGCCAAATTCCGGCGGATCTCCTCCGCAGTTGCGCCCTCTTGCCGTGGAGACACAGCCCTCTGTGTCCCATTCTGTTGCGGAGGCTGGCCCGTTGGGGAGGTGACAGACTTCCTTCCATTTTGCGGGTTAGAGTTGGATGGACGCTGAGAGGAATCGGGATAACGGATATGTTCTAACCCAACGTCAGTCAAAACCCTGTGCTCCTCGAAACACTATACACACTTGTATCTAGTATGTGTACAAAACTTGGATCATCCGGGTTTGGCACTGTGGAGGACTCTCCGCCAAGGACAAAGACACGAGGTCCCGCAGACGCCATGGCATGACCAGAACGTCCACTTGGCCCTGGGCCCATGTTCTGGAACATATACCATCTCTGGTCTGTTTCAATGGTAAGATTCATAGATATAAGTGGAGATAGAGCCAACTCACTGGATATCTTAAATGCTGCCAAGTCTCCCAGATCCGTACCATCCACACCCCTTCCACCGAAAACGTACATCACGTCATCCACGAGAGCGGCAGCATGACCTTCTCGAGGCAGAGGGATGAATCCTATACAAGTCAGGTCCGCCCATGTCCCGGTTAAGGTATCATAGCACCAGGTGTCATTATAATGGTATTGGCCATCCGTCCCCCCAAATCTACAAACATTGTAAATGGCAGTCTTATTAATACGTGTGCCAAAAGATGTGGACGTACAGGTATAATTTGTCACCATAAGTCACCATTATGTGCCCAGTTCGTCGAGCCGGCGCATGAGCTCCTCTAACTGATAAGTTCTCCCACAACGGCTGGCCTCTCTTAACTGAAGGAGTGAACATGAGGTGACTGGTGAGTAGGAGAATGCCAAATATCACATACGAGAGCCTAAATCAAAAGCCCATAAATCATCTAGGAATTCACCGTCGACCTGGCCACCATAGACGAAGAACTTCGTCCCACACATAGTGACAGCATGACCATAGCGTCCCGTTGGTGCAGTACCTTGTGGCAGAACTCGTGTCCATTCTCGTGTCCCTGAGCCCGAAGCGGCAATGAATCCCTTTGGCTTCAGATATTCTGAAGCAAAAGACATACCAAGGTTCAGGAGATACAATGCATTATCTTGCTTATCATTCTCATTCGTCTTTGTATCACCACCCCAGATGATGAGGACACTACTGACAATGGCACTGGCGTGCCCGACTCGTGGCGGAGGAATGTCCCCAAAAGTTTGTATCAGGCTAGCAGCGGCATTCACTGTGGAAAATGAATACAGATCATTTCTGACTGACTCCTTCACGAGACCACCGAATATGTACAATTCCCCTGAACCACTCGCCACTGGGGGCAGGGAATGACCATATCGAGGGAAGGGAGAAGGGGAAGCCGATGTTGGTTGGACCATTCCCGGTCTAGGGATAATGAGAGGAGGGTTTAGTTGGAGTTGTCGCGCAGACCACGGATAAACTTGGGGACGGGGTTGCTGTGCAGGCGCGTTGGAGGGTGAAGTGGATAATTGCGCACGGGTTGAGTCCGCATGGTTCGATTGTGATTGTTGTACAGCAGCCCTGACGAATCAGATCTCAGTGTAAGCGGCTAGACAATGACAGGGAATTCATATTTACCGGACTTCTTCGCGAGCTAAGCGTGCCTGCTCCCTCTCCCGTTGCAGTTGCTGCTGCAGCTTTAATGCTTCAGATGGGCCCGGGACGTCTGCCCTTTGTGAGCCTTGAAGTGAGACGGGAGTATTCTGGGGAGCAGGAGCAACTGCAGGCGTCTGGCTGGTCTGTCGCTTCCGTGAAAAGAACGACATTCTGCGTAGGAATGAAATGTTGAATTTTGGTGTTGAGAACAGAGGAAGATGTTCAGGGACGAGAAGTCAGCAGAGAGACGCGAATGAGACCCCAATAGGAACGAAAATGTGGGGGACTGGTGCGTGAATGCTCGGAAACGAAAGCAGGACTCGAGAGAGCTGGAAAACGCTCACTACCCTCACAATCAGTATTGATCCCTTTCGGCGCTGTCCGGTCTATCACCAACCATTTTGAGCCGTTCGCACGTGATCTTCCGAACAATATAAATATTTCCAATTGCGCTCGAGGATTACCGGATCAGCGCTCTCTGAAGCAGGGTGGTGTTCCAAGGGCGATGGATTAATCAAAGTAGCTCTTGTGCTCATCTCGTGCAACAAGTGGTCCGTCCGACCCACCTACAGATGGAAACTATCGACTCTGATTCGCCTTCCCTCAAACGAGGGCCACAATTCACACATCTCACCATGGAGATGGGGGCACATTCTTCCAGGAATGTTCAACGTCCGTCCAAACTCTGCATGCGCTGAAGTTCCCAATCATGACTTCTTTATCTCGCGGAACGACTAGGATATTTCTTCCGTATCTTCGTTGGATGGACGATGCCCACACAGCATTGCAATCCTGTCAGAACGGCACCATCAGCCCGTGCTGATCACGAACTCAGGAGATTAACTTGCTGCCCAGTTTGAAGCTGCCAGTCGGTGCGCCACCAATGGCACGAGGGATTCGTCATAAACATGCTGAGCTCGCGCTGCTTCAACCGAATTGTATGAGATTAGAATTGCCCAGAAGTCGATACTCCCGCATGTCGACAGTCTCTTCGGTTGATGCCAAAGTTTCTGGACTTTACATACCTGGATCCGTTACTCAATGACTTGTGGACAACAATCCAATCAATGTGGACCTAATTGCTTGCGAGTATAAAGGATTGAGTGCTTATTCTGAAACTAAATTCTATCCGTGGCCGAAACGTCAATCGTTCAAATACTGGCTACTTGTAGGTCATGCATGTTGATACCGAGGCTAGCCTTGACCCAGTCGTGTTTTTGGGGGTCGGCAACCAACGTTGCGACCTTGTGACACTTACATAAGCAAAATGCGTCTCGATTCTGGCCGTGCCATCCTCCCACTCAAAGCACATCATCTTTAGGTTGCAAACTATCTAGAATTTGTGTAAATGACAATGATGTGAAGGTCGGAAGTTATCTACATGTGGAGGTGAGTAATTAGATGGATTTTTTATTTATGAAACCGTGGTTGGGCTAAACACTGTCATCCCGCGTCGCCATAAATTCTCCTTGTATCTATGGGTCCCCCTTGCTGACTGTTGTTCAGCATGGCCAGTCATATGAGCTCGAGCTCTAGTAAATTGTCGGATTTGGGGGGAGGTGATCTTTTTCCTGGAATACGTCCAAGAAGTTCTATCCCTTGGCAACTGGGAGACTAGGAAGTGGGTGTGGGTGTCTGCCCCCAAATTAATAAGCCAATAAGACTGAAGGTTAGATGCCAAGAGATCCCAGGTTGGGCCAGGCGACGTCGGTAAACCCTGGCACGTGATTCCTTTTTGCGCCTATCCCGACATTTTGGAAAGATGCACCCCAAATGTACCTTCAATCCTCTTCTTTTTGCTTGATTTTTGGCATGATTGTAGATGTATCGTCTGTTTATATTTTGGCGTACCGGATTTTGGAAATTCTTCCTCAATCAAAAGTTATTCACCATACATAAAATCGCATTTTAACATATTGCTTTATAACTCAATGATAACTACATATGAACCCATCAAACTTCGATGGAATGCTAAAATAGCATTGGACTGACTCTTTGCTCAGTTATTACCTTGGTGCAACTATATATTATATGGAGCTTGGGCCTACTACATCCATTGTGGCTTCCGAGTCACAGAATGTACCTTTCCTCTTTTCCGATTGGGCTCAAACTTTGCGAGATTGCTCTATAGGTACGAATGCAGGTTTCGGCCTAGTGGATTTCCGAAATTCTTCCTGGTGCATGAGAAAAGCTCAAGAAGATCCCGCACATTTTGTGATATTCCATAATCATCCATAAAACCGCTTCAAAATGGGCTCACATCCTGTGCGGTATCTCAATATCATTATTAAGTAATAATTATGGCAATACTTGAAACATGGTTGTACTGTCAAGAGGAATTGTTTTTGCATGAGGATGACGGCCATTTTTTTTTGTATCACGTGGTTACAATATTACCTCAGACGTCTCCCTTCATTTGCTGACCCCCAGTGTTTTAATTGATGAACACACAGATTCCATATTTGTTCCCCAGCCGCAGCCAAGGAAACTATCCACTGGGCAATAGTTGCACTCTTCAAACTCTCGCATCCAACACATCAACAATTGTACCAAACACAGCCTATCATAGAGCTTCAGTCAGTTTATGTGGCTGCGCATATATTGCGACCATGATATGCCGGCCAAGTCGTAAGTATTTGAGTGGTGCGTGGTTTGTTCCCTTGCCACATCTTCAAGTCCCCTGATCGAGCCTCGGCACAGCATGGGGATGTGTTAGGCCTGGTTTCCGACAACGTGTCAGCAAGAAACGTAATTGAAAACATAATGAATACCAAACCCGCCTACTGTATGTGACTGTCAAGTCCGCACCAAAGTCTTCGGCCAACCTCGCATCCCCAGAATGTCATGTGCGCAGAAGAGCGGTTGTGATCCAAATTCTGACATACCCGAGAACTAACTGCAGGGTGGTACCTATGAACATGCCACCATCTGGACCGTGCGGAGTACATCCTGCGGAGGAAAGGCCATGGTGACAACCATCATCACCAGCATGCTGTTCATTCCAAGAACATTCAAGGCTTCTTTCCCTGTAGATAGTGATGAGAAACCTCTGTTATGTACATAGTAACGAGGCATGCGGACGCTGCGCAATTTCTCCGACAACAATTCCCCAGACATATCATGCCTTGCAGGAGTGAAGAGTCACTAGGCGTACCACCCCCTAAATTAGTCCGCAAGAATGCGGAAAGCTGAAAATTGGTCGCTGTATCCGGAAGGCAAGCGCGCCGAATGAACTTTAATAAATGACAACAGTGGTGATTAGCAACCAACCCCACAACTTCGCAGGATGTCCAACGGTCCCAAATACGAATTGTGGAGCGTGGATGAAGTGGAACAAGCCGTATATGTGAAGGAAATGGAGGGCCCTGGATCATAGGAGATTTGGCAATAATAGGCGCAAGGGTAGCAGGAATTCCTGTTATATACTTACTCCATACCCAAGCAAGCTCCCTCATGCTCATAAATCGTCTGAAAAGTGTCAAACGAGACCTGGGAAACGGCATGGAGAAGCAAGGGTATCATAGTCGATGAGGAGTTAACAGGAGTGTGTTATTTCAAGGGAACTGGGCTGATGACTGAAGAATTACAATACGTAGAGCTGATGCACAAGCAACCAGTGGATGAGCGTCTTCTGCCGAATGTACATCGGACCACAACCTCTAGGTCACTTGGGAATGTAAAAGGTATGTAGGAAGGACTGAAGTTGATCGTTGGTTCTGATCGGACTGATCACGTTTTGCAAACAGCCGGGTCACGTTTGGGTTGGACCTCTGCGGGGTATGCCGGGATCCTTTTCAAGCTACAACAGAATCGACGGGTATCCATCACCATCACCTGCCACTGGGGTGGTGTTCGAACCCCATTTTTGATTTGATGAAGGCCTCTTAACAGGAGCATCACAGCGTTCCCTCTACATCCACTTTCTTTCTTGTCCTTCTTGAGCTGGACTCGGACCTTTGAAGCACCTACCTTTTGTTGGGCGTTCACCGTTGAAAAGTACCCCTTGTGCTAGCGCAGGGCGCTTTGATTCCCTTGTATCCCCGGTTCCCATTCAGATGGCCACTAGTCCTCGACGATTCTCTGCATTCGATTTCAGGGACAGGGATGACACGATTTCCCAGTTCCATCCCGATGTCCAGCCCAAGAATGGGGCGAATCTGCAGAGGAATAAGTCTGAGCGCAGTCGCCTCCAGCCCTTGATGCGCGCTGACACTTCTGCGACGCAACCGCCACTTCCGAAGCCAAAGTTAAAGGGTGTGACGGGTTGGCAAGCGCAGTGGGACGCCTGGATGGTCAACGAAGGAGGAAAGCGCATTTTCTTTTTCGTCTTCCTGTTCTTGCATGCGCTTGTTTTTGCGTTCAGTTTCATGAACTATGATCTCAGCGATAATCTGACGAAGGCAAGAAAGGCCTTTGGTATCACGTATCGTGCGTTGTATCGCTCCTGGCCAGTGAGCCGACTGACTGACGATCTGTGGGCTGTCAGCTATTGCCCGTTCTGCTGCTCTTATCCTTCACGTTGACGTGGTTTTCATCCTGCTCCCCATTTGCCGTAATTTTATATCCCTCCTTCGCCGAACACAACTCAGCAATATAATCCCATTTGACAAGAACATCACATTCCATAAAGCAGTGGGATGGTCCATCGTCACTTTCACTGGCGTTCATATCCTCGCGCACATGGTCAATTTTTGGGAGCTCGCTAAATTAACAGCTCCTCCCAAAGCTAACTTCAGACAGGTACTTGCTAAGTTCTTTGAAGTGAATTCTACGACAGGTCCTGCTGTCACGGGTTGGATCATGACTATTTCGCTTGCGGTAATGGTTTGGTTCGCCCGTGAAAGCAAGAAGCGTCAACCAAATGGGGGGTTTGAGAGGTTTTGGTATACGCACCACCTGTTCATTGTGTTCTTCATCAACTGGCAGCTCCATGGAATGTTTTGTATGATTAGTGAGTCGATTGTCTGCAATGACTCGTGCACTTATTTAAGATCCTACCAGAGCCTGACAATCCGCCTTATTGCTCATCTAACACCATCGGAGTCTTCTGGGTATGTTGCACTACGTTCTTGTCGCCCATCTTTTGTTGACATAGTCACGGCAGCGATACTGGTTTGTGGGAGGTGTCATCTTTATTTACGAGCGCATTCTTCGCGAAATCCGATCTCGACATCGCACATATATCTCCAAGGTTATCCAGCATCCCTCGAGCGTACTAGAGGTTCAAATCAAAAAGGAGAAAATTACCACTCGCGCCGGACAGGTACGAAACCAATCCGTTGGCTGTCTATGTTGCATACCCACTCGTTCCTATTTTCTTAAGTACATATTCATCAACTGTCCAGAGGTGTCGTATTTCCAGTGGCAGTAAGTCTGCGTTACTACCATTCCATTGGATTCTAGCTGAAACGGTCATGGAGTCCTTTTACCTTGACCAGTGCTCCTGAAGAAGACTATATATCGATTCATATTCGAGTTCAAGGCGACTTCACGACAGGCAAGCTGCCTCCGCTGATTCTTGGGCTTTTGACATATTGACGATATTTCACCACTACCACCACAGCATTTGCTGCAGTATTAGGAGCTGACTTCTCAAAGGATAAGGATAGAAAGGACGATGCTTCGATTGTTGTGCGGCCCCCCTTGAACCGCGTCCTGCCGCGAATCATGGTCGATGGACCTTTTGGCAGCGCATCGGAAGATTTTTTCAAGGTGAACTTTGAAATCCCATCGGGATTTAGTCACTGTCTCACATCTCCTTTAGTTCGAGAGTGTGCTTCTGGTTGGAGCGGGGATTGGCGTAACGCCCTTTGCATCAATTCTGAAGTCCAGTAAGCCTCACAACTTCTACCCGTTTTCCACTGCCGCATCGCTCTCTAACTCAAACATGCTAAGTCTGGTATCGCATGAACAACTTAAACACTTCTGGCAAACACACTCGTTTAAGCAAAGTTTATTTTACCTGGGTCATCCGCGATTTCGGGACAGCTGAATGGTTCCATTCACTCCTACACGCGATCGAAGAGCAAGATTATCAAAATCGAATAGAGATTAGTATTTACCTCACTGCCAAGATCAAGGAGGATGATATGAACAATATTCTGGTGCAAGACGTTGGAGCGGAGAAAGATGCGATCACGTCGCTCCGGGCACCTACACATTTCGGACGACCTAATTGGGATCGAGTTTTTAGCAGCGTACGTGACATGGATGCTCAGGTGTCAACTTCAAGTCTGACTAAACGTCACCCTACCAGATTGTGGACCGCCATCCTGATACTGACATTGGCGTGTTTTTCTGCGGCCCCCCTGCTCTATCAAAGACGTGCGTGAAGGTCGCTCTCTGCTTTGTACCATCAACCTCACATCCTGGAACTCGGCAAATAGGCTTCACATTATGTCAAACAAATATACAACAGCGCAAGGGACAAGATTCTTCTTCGGGAAAGGTACGCGTAATGTTGGACAAAAATTCTTAGAACTAATCGGTTAATCTGTCCTTGATCGCTTCGTAGAGAACTTCTGATAAGAGAACGGAAACATGTATGCCTTCACAATCCTGTATTTTACCTGTCTGCGTTTGCCTCCTGGATGTTTTGGCACAAAGGCGCACCTGTAATTAGCCGACGATCTGTTCGCACTGTCCTAGTGACACGCGGTTGAGTTGATCCCAATAATACACTTCACAGCAATGTATTCTCAGTTGAACTGGTCAAACGAAGAGAAACCACGGCTCACTCGCGCAGGGAGCGAACAAACGCCCAAAGATGGGGATCCTTTGTAGCAACATCCCAACGAGCTCGCGTCTTTCCTCTCCTTGTTGGGTGTAACGGTCTGAGCGCTGAGCGGCGATTTGTTCCGTCGTAAAATGGGAGGAAACACACACGGTACGATTCTCCACGATAACGCACCTAAAGCGAGCGTGGTGACACAAAATCAATTACCGCCCCTAAAGATCCCTTCGGGTTGAGAAGCCAAAGGTCGCCACTCACTTAAGTGGGTAGTCACGCAGCTTGACTTCAGTTCCAAGATGTACGAAAGCAACATTGCTGTCTGGTAGGAAAGGTGTCGTCAAGGTTTCCCTACAGCTGTAGATCCAACTTACATGAGAAATGTAGGGGCCAATCGCGTGCTTTTGGGAAGCACACTGCGACGGCATCACCATTCGATGTGATCCGCCACATGGCCCTCTGACATTTTGGGTCTTCAAGCATCTTCTGGTTGAAAACTACGCATCCGGTGCGTCAAGATGAGTACGTTCAAGAATCTACAGAACCTGTTATTCACCTTGGACATATTTGGTATCGGAAATGGCAGGGGCACCAAACAGGTAAACGTCCCTTAATTCCGCGTTCTTGCCCATGTCTTCTGGACTTGTCAGAAACTTTGAATAGACGAGCGAAGCAGTAGCACATCCGAAGGAGTGTCCAGTAAACCAAACGTTGATCTAAAACGCTCCAAACAATGGCAAGACGCCGGTCAAGACCGAATCATACAAGTCTGTCCCCAAGCCCATGATCACCTTGGCCCCTTGAGGCAAACCATTTGTTCTTCTGAGATGCTTGGCTAACGTCTTGACACCGAGTGAGATGGAATCATACGGAGTGATATGTCCCAAATCGCAGGGCTCAGAGGGGAATACTCGCTCTCTGGAGCCCTTGTGAAATTTAAAGCCAGTGCTATGGTCACCGCCTTAGATACGCAAATTAATTTGGAGGGATGGTAAGGCTTGCGGCAAAGTGAGTGGAGCGTATAAGTACTGCTCACTCTCTACGAGAACGGGACTGAACAGAATTCGAGGTAATGAGTGGTACCATAATTGGGGCAGCACAATAAGGGTTCCTACTCGAAAGTCGACAGCCACTCCCCGAATTCAGCCGGAGTGGCTCCTAAGGTCGTCCAGTCCAACAGGCCATATAGTCGCGTGCCGCGAAATGAGAGGAACACCCACCTTTACAAGCCACCATAATCCAGTTCGATCTAGGATCCCAGAATAGCCCGGCGAAGGTAGACGCAGTATCATTCAACTCTGCGGTCAGAAACCGATATACCAATTAGCCCCCTTATATTTCACGTACCCTAGCACAGACAAAATGATTATTTGCCCACATACCTGAAACAACTTCAAACTCGATCCCAAACCTCATGCACCAGTCTTTAATCAACATATCGCCTCTAGAGTCCAACATCTTCCTAACTTCATCTGCTTTCTCCGCTCCAAATCGAGAACGAACCAGATCACCCGGAATAAGCCTCTCCTGGAACGAGTTGCTGACAATGTTTTGGGCCGCTCCTCCGATAATAGGGGCGTAAGACAAAGGCCGAGTATTAGCGAGGACATGAACCGCTTTCCGAATGGAATCATTTTCGCGTTCGTAAAGGATCGAAGTAAGTTGGAGCCTACGATGTATCACAGAATAAGAATGGAGGGCGCGAAGATGGCGATTGGAGTGGGCCTAGGTAATGTGTGTGCAGTGAAAGTTACGCACATGAATTTAGCGACGTCGTAGTCAAAATGTTGGCTGTGTTCGTTATCGGGGTTCTCATCGGCAGGTTGCTTAAGAGCCCTCATTGCGATCTCTACCTGATCCACTCCTATTGCGTGGAACAGGTTGGGATTACCTAGTAGAGTTTAGATGTGTAAGCTAATCCTAAAAATGAAAGTAACGAAGAGGCGACCAGAATTGACGAGGCCAAGGCCTTTACCATACTTATCGGCCAATAGTAGTATAGCCTATTATTGGATAGCGAGGCGCATGAACACAATGAGACAAAGCAAACGGTACAATAACGCCTCACTTGATGAGGATCGGGGAGTACAGCGCCAGGGAAAATGTCAATGCTGCCAAATGGAAGATAGTTGCTAAGATGGGTGGTGAGATCGAACAGGCCGTAACAGGGCGTAATGTGTATGTACCATTCACTGCGAAAGGAATGAGCGAGAAGGAACCAAAAATTCCGAGCCCACCCATGACGATGGCTGTCATTACACGCGTCCACAGTATGACCTGTCATCAGGTATCGTCAGATCACGCCTGTGCAAGAGTAAATATCGAGCTGTCATGAGATGTAGCTCACTACAAATCGAAGATAACGACCAATCTCGAGCAGGGTTAGAGCACTGTAATGATTGAGTGCCTTTCATTAAGGGGAAGCGATTAAAGTCGTCGACGCCACCCAAGTTGGTTTTGAGCAACGTACGTTCACAGTGTGTTTATTACTGCTGTCCTGAGACAGTCCAACGACTATGGAAAAGTCATGGATGTCATATATCATAGAAGCACGAGAGGAGGAAGCTGAGACGAAGGTCGATCTCACTTTCATCCATATGTATCCGTCGCAATTTCGCATGTATGTCATTTGTTCCATCGTCGGTGGGAGTCTTTCATTTTCTTGGAGTTCTTCCAAGCAAGGCATGTGATTTGTCTGATACAGAGACTGTGCCACCAAGTCGTCCGTTGCAGACGCCATGCTGACGTTGGAGAGGAAGAGTTCGGGTTCGGGATTGGGCAATATGCTCGCAATAGTGGATTTTTGATTTACCTTATAAGGGGGCGGAACGGTTGCAATCGTTCACACGCCTGTCGGCTTGGCTTGATTTGGGAGTTCTGAGCGGCTCGGGGAAATAACACAGGCAATGTGCGAAATGGACGGAACAGATACGTCAAATTAAGCTTTCGCCGCCATCATGACTGACTAGCTGTCCAATTGCAACATGAGATCAGCTCATATTGCTGGGGTCCTGCACTTTACCTTTCAACGTTCAGCTCAAGCATTCAGATTTCGCTTCTTGTTTCTTCACACAAATCGCAGGAATTCTCACTTACATCGATATCCACCTGGATCCAGTCTTATCATGCACTGTCTTCTCTCCTCATGACCGAGCCTCTTTCCAGTCAATTCTAATGTTGTCTGTACGGTGGCCTATATTCCATGCAGAATTAATAGTTGAAGGCCAACATCACCAGCTTCCCCCTAGTCAGTTGCTGTGTAGGTGAAGTTCGTCACGCTTAACATTAGTCGGCTCCAAGCATGGTAGTGTACACGAAGGAAGCCGGGTGGTGATCAACCCAAACCTACTCATCCTCATCCCCCTCATTTTCACTGTAAAGGGAAAAGAGTTCAAGGAAGATGAAACGACAAAGGAACAGCATGACATACGCGATATTGAAGAAGCGGAGCTCGTATGTATCCCTCCTGGTTGAAATAACGCTAAAGTCAACAATCCAATCAGCTTGCGCCCGAAACATGCACTGCTGAGCAAAACCAAGACGAACCGTATCCAATCACGGAGCTGATTCTTCTTCAAAAACTTCTTCGTCAGGAATTTAAGGCTTTGCTTTGAGAAAGGAACAGTCGTAGAGATTTGTAACCGACCCTTAGCTAATGAGCAAAAGGAAATGTCATTGTTCTCATCAGTGAAGCAGAGTCGAAGAGATTCGACTTCACGCACCAGGCCTGGAAATAACGACAGAATCACCTAGTTGGCCGCGCTTGCCATCCCCAACCCAGATTCGGTCATGAAGGAATTTCTCAAAAGCAGCACCGTCGAACACACCATCGCTCTCAGGTTTTGAGAAGTCGATGGCGAACTTGTGGATGACTCTTCGGCTGGTGGACTAATGAGCCCGCAATGACCGACAGGACACCACAAGACAGAAAATTAGGTTGGGTATTAGCCTACCGAGAAACATCCTCAGCATAGCGGTTAACCACAACCACACGTACCATGTCAATGGTTTTGGGGGGAAAAATGGGGTCGAGAAAAGTCAAGAATACCTAGAAACTGTGCAGCACAACGGCAATTTCCGATAAGAAACTGAATGGTGGCTCCAAATCCAATCGGAGGAAATCCGCTCGTTCTTACTTTCTCTGCTGCCGCGAGCAAGACACCGGCATGTCGGCAGCCAACATGAACGAGTACGAGATAAAACCTCAAGCAAAGACCCCTGTCGTTGATACTTCTGCATGGCCTCTGCTTTTGAAGAATTATTCTGAACTCTTAGTTCGAAGTGGGCATTTCACCCCCATTCCTGCTGGATGCAGCCCTTTGAGGCGCGACATCCAGGATCACGTTAAGTACGTGGACTCGATGTAGTTTTTATTTCTGTTCTACGAGTCTTACGAATCGTTTTGTTTGTTTTGTTGTTTCCTTCCAGATCTGGTGTTATTAACTTGGACAAGCCATCCAACCCTTCGAGTCATGAAGTCGTCGCATGGATTCGACGAATCCTCCGTGTCGAGAAAACCGGGCACAGTGGCACGCTTGACCCCAAAGTCACAGGTTGTCTTCTCGTTTGCGTTGACCGGGCCACTCGTCTCGTCAAATCTCAGCAAACCGCAGGTTAGCACTGTAGAATTCCCTTCTCAATGTGTCTTAATAATGCGTATTTTGCTTTTCTTATCAAACAGGGAAAGAATACGTCTGCATAATTCGTTTCCACTCAGCTCTTGAATCGGAACAAGCCTTCCCCCGTGCACTGGAAACCCTCACCGGAGCCCTCTTCCAACGTCCCCCACTCATCTCTGCTGTCAAACGCCAGCTCCGCATCCGAACCATCCATCAATCCAAGTTACTCGATTTTGACAAGAAGGGAAACCTCGGCGTCTTCTGGGTCAGTTGCGAAGCAGGGACCTACATTCGTACCCTATGCGTTCACCTTGGCCTGGTCGTTGGTGTGGGTGCGCATATGGAAGAACTCAGACGTGTTAGAAGCGGAGTTGTAACTGAGAACGATGACATTGTCACGATGCACGATATCCTCGATGCACAATGGTTGTACGACAACACTCGCGATGGTCAATACTCTTTTCATCCGAACAGGCGTCTCCCATGGACCTTGACTTATTCCCCTTTCCTCTTTCTCCAGAATCGTATCTTCGACGTGTTATTCGCCCTTTGGAATCCCTTTTGACTGGTTACAAACGCTTAGTGGTCAAGGACAGTTCCGTTAATGCCATCACTTACGGTGCGAAGCTCATGCTTCCAGGTTTACTCCGTTATGGTTCGTTTTGCTCGAATGTTGCCCTTTGTACAGAGTTGGTCTAACCAATCTCCATTCTCGTCCCTTCAGCCGCCGACATCGATGCCAATGAAGAAGTCGTATTCATGACTACGAAAGGGGAGGCCATCGCTATCGGTATTGCACAAATGAGCACTGTCGATATGACCACCTGTGACCATGGTGTTGTCGCCAAGGTCAAACGTTGTATCATGGAACGTGACGTCTATCCCCGTCGCTGGGGTCTTGGTCCTCATGCTATCGCCAAGAAGAAGCTTAAAAAGGAAGGGAAACTCGATAAGCACGGTCGTACTATTGAAGGTGTTACCCCTAAGGAATGGACAGATAAATATGTCGATTATTCCGCTCCCGCCAAAGCGACAGTACGTTTTCTTTTCCGCCCCCTAGCCTCTCTTTTTGGGGGAAGGGGATTCAGCGCTTCAATGACATGGTAGAACTGATCAAACTTCTCAATGCTGCGCATAATGCGTTTATCCAGACTGCCAAGACTATCACTCCGAGTCCCGCCACTCCCGCTGCGACAAGCATGGACGTCGACGAGCAAACTATGGCCAAATCTGGGGAGCAAGAGAAAAAGCACAAGGGTAAATCGAAGTCGCTGATGAGGGCGAAGTTCAGTCTGGGGAAAAGAGAAGAAGCACCAGCGTAAATCCGAAGTCGCTGATGGGGCGAAGTTCAGTCTGGAGAGAAAGAGAAGAAGCACAAGCATAAATCCGAAGTCGCTGATGGGGGCGAAGTTCAGTCGGGGGAGAAAGAGAAGAAGCGCAAGCGTAAATCCGAAGTCGCTGATGGGGGTGAAGTTCAGTCTGGGGAGAAAGAGAAGAAGCGCAAGCGTGAATCTGAAGTTGCAGATGGGGGCGAGTCCGGGGAGAAGGAGAAGAAGCGCAAGCGCAAGTCCGAAGCTGATGATGCGGGAGAGGCTGAGTCTGGCACGAAGGGGGAGAAGAAAGAGAAGAAACATAAGCGAAAGTCTGGGGTCGAGGAAGGTGAACCCAGAAGCGAGAAGCATAAGGATGCTTCTGCTGCTGACGGCCAGTCATCATCACGCAAAAAGAAAAAATCCGCCGAATGAACTTTGCCAGTGCTTGGTTCTTGATTTTAGCGTCATTTATTCTCTGTCATCGCTTAGTGTTGCCGCCCGGGTGCTAATATTGGTTCATGTCACTTAGTATTAATCTCACACTCTCTACACGATGAAACGTCTCGGCTCGCACTTGCGTGTCACAGCGGGGGTTAAAATACACAAGTTTCAGTACTTGATATCGATTTGTGGAGGCAGTGCGATGGATATGTCAGTGACATCCGCGTCTATCTTGAGTTTCCCCAGGACAAAGAGTGCCAGTTCCTTCCACTTCTGCTGGGAAAGTGACAGCGGTTTGCCGCGCATTTGGGTGGCGAGAATGGATGCTGTTCGTTCGCGTAACACTTTCACGGCCAAGTTTGTCTTTGGCGAAAGGTTATACTTGATCTTGCGATCAATGAAGGCAGAATTGGAGAACAACTACAGGGACAGGGTTTAAGGGTGTAAATCGAGGTTGCGTGATTCGTGACTTCTGGTGCTTACCTTGAATTCTGCCTCACCGCAGAGAAGGAACAAGGATAAGTCATCGATCGGGCCGGTCTCCCAAGCGTAGAGTTTCTTTGAATGCCTTAGAGGAATAGAGTGAATGCCGTGTGCGTAGCCGGTACAAAGAAACTTACATCAAGGTGAAGTAGCAGAGATGGCTGACGCCAAAGTCCTTCGGTTTTGCACGGAAATTGATGGAGCTTGGGTGGAATGATACTGACTGATTGTTGGTCAATGTGCGAAGTTGACCAGTAGATTCTTCAACAACAAGAAGTTTGGGGTAGAGCCCTGCTGCAAGAGCAGCCTTAACAACATTATCGTCGCACGAATTCCTGTCGAGCTCTTCAGGAACCTGCAAGAACTTGATTCTGCCACGACTGGACCGATTCCTGAGGATTGGATGAAATTAAGACCAAGAGTATTAGAACTTTTGACACCGACCGATACAGTTCGCGTTCGAAACTTCGGTCGACCGACACAAACGTAGAATCCACTAAATAACTAATATAATTGCAGATAAGTATGAGTCCTTCGACAGGGAATGAGATCACTAACGCCAAAAATTGTTGCCGTAGCTCTTCGATTTGCTGTAGATTTTGGTAACTGAGATAATTCTTTCTACAAAACGCACGAGCGGCACTGGGGCTCGTATATGCGCGCCTCCAACTTGCAAACGCAGCATGAATGGTGAGAAAATCGGAATTATCTGTGAATTGCAGCATAATTCGAGGACACCAGTATATGGATATTAAGAGCAGCCTACCAATTCTGAATGATAATTTAGCTCTATCCGCTTCAGCCTCAAAGCCGAAGGGGGTCACAAATGGTGATTTGGAATTGAGAGCCGCGGCTATGGTTAATGCGGGGTCCAAACAACCGAACAACGCTGCGAGAAGCAAAAATTTCCCCAAGTGCACATCGGTGGGCATTTGACTGAGGAGGCGCCCCATAGGTGTTATCCCCTCTGACGGTGTCAGTGCCTTTACCTGAATTCTTCATCAACGAAATAGAAAAGATATCAACCAGTATGAACAGACCTCTATCAATGCGGATACAGCTCGCTGAATGTTCACTTGGGACGGGGGGTCCAGAGCGCGAGAAAGGACATCTTCAATAGAAGACCCAACGTCCACTTTAAGGATTTTGGTGCGCAGCGCGAGATTCGATAAGCTCAACCGCATCATTTCAGGTAGTGGGTGATCTGCGAGCTGGATGGTGCAGCCCTGTTATCTCAATGCATGAAGAGGAATAGAAAGCAACCCCACCAAAGTGTCATGTCTGAATTTGGTAAAAAGATGGAAACAAAGTCCAGCCTGCACCCGCCCCGCTCGTCCGCGTCTCTGAGTTGCGTTGCTTTGGGCGATGAAGGTTTCATCCAAACGACTAATCTGGCGCTTCTCATCGTATCTACAGCCAAGGTAAACACAGGGACGCCCACAATATCAAATACTCACCTCATCTCCCGATGCCTCCCTGAATCAATAACACATGTGACGTCGGGGATTGTTATGCCTAGGAAGAAGAAAAATCAGGCCAAGTCCATCTACTATAAGCAGCACACACCAGTTTCAGCAATATTCGTCGCTAAACAAGGTATCAGTACTGACGCATTGAATGCATGATCCAAGCTCACCAATGACAATCTTCCGAACACCAGGGGGAGGTATGTCGAAGACTGCGCTTTGATTCTCGCTCGATATTGTTGAATGCAATGGGTAGACACGATAGAACTCTTCCACGCCAAATTCGTCATGTTCGGAAAGCATCTCAAGGAGCCTTCGTATTTCATTCATTCCCGGCATAAACACCAAAATAGCAGCGGAGTAGTGCGCATAGTTGGGATCTTGGAGACATATGCGTTCCAGGAGTCTGATGATGAGTTCATATGGAATGTTTCGCTCATCAAAAAGATCGACAGTCTTTTTCGTTTCCGAGGAGTAGCGTTTTTCCAGCTTCAGAGGGCTCGCAGACGTGGACGTCCCTTCTTCATCATCCTCGGGATCTGGAGAGTCCTCGGTCCATTCAAATCCAGCACCTCTATCATGGCGATTAAACCTAGCGCCGGCTGGACAAAAACCATAAATAATGTATTGTTGCTTCGTAACTTCCATTACTCACCCCGCTTTGCATAGGGACTGTCTTCGTTGATCGACCATTTGGTCAACTCCACGGCATCTTCAAGGAACTGCACATCTACAGGGAACGTCCTCCCTGGCACCTGCATAATCGGGCAGCCTTCGAAGTAGCTCGAAATCTTCTCTGCATCAACCGTAGCGGACATCAATATCACCCTTGTAAACGTGATATGTCAGCACTGTGCTAAAATCAAATAAGACACTGACTTGAGGTCCGAGCGTTGTCGTAACAACGACTTCAGGACAATAAGTAAGAAGTCGCTTTCAATGGAGCGTTCATGGACCTATCAAAGTGAGTGTGGCGTTCCTTCCCAGGTTGATCCGCTTACTTCGTCCACGATGATATGCTATAGATGCGAGTTAGCGCATGATGGCCAGCGTTGCATTCTCCAAGCTGCTCACAGTGATCTCGTCCAAAGACATTCCCTTGCCACCAGTGGTCCCACCATTCTCCAGCATTCGGAGAGCAATGCCATTTGTCACGAACGCCAGTCTGGTGGACCTCGATGTATTACTCTCTAGGCGAATGGAGTATCCAACAAGAGAAGCATTCGTCCCGACGACACCCGGAGGTTCGCCAAGCTCCCGAGAGACCCGCTGAGCTAGCGAGATCGCAGAAATCCTCCTAGGTTCGGTGCAGCAGATCTTGCAGGGCTTCCCACGAGACAACTGGTCCTCAAGGATAAAGGACGGCACTTGGGTGCTCTTCCCACTGCAGTGGGGAACACGATGAGTATCCCTACAGGGAACAGAGGTGCCAGGGCTACTTTACCATCCAGTCTCTCCACTAAGAACCATTACTTGGGCGTACTCCAGCGTGGAGAGGATTTGCCCACGATACGCTGCTATCGGCAGCGTGTTCCGGTGTGCCTAGGCCGAAAGAGTCGGTTTTAAGGTTGGAGAATGAATAAACTTGGTGTCATACGCACCAGCATTTCCTGGTAAGACTGCGACATCTGACGCGTCATAAATGACATGGCCAGTTGATCGGAGTATAACTCAAGTGACCGAGGTCGCACATCCAAATTAGCTTCAATTGTGATAGCAGACGGTTTGACGGATTTCGGATCCTGACATGGATTTATAAGATAAACCTTTACAGCCACATGCTCAGCCCACGATACAGTACCTTGGTGGTTCCAGGAGTTGATATCCGGGATCCAAGCAAATTCCGCAACGTAGCCCATATAGCTCGGTTCGTCCTCTCATATTCTGACTTTCTTCGATTCTCCAATTCGTTCCAGAGGTCACGGAATACAGGTGGAAAGCCTCTAGTGTTTGAAGTGTTATTTGCTGTGTTGCCAACTGCAAAGCCTGGGGGCGAGTCGAAGCTCAGACCATGCAGTGCCACAACAGAAATGAAGTGCTCCGCTTGAATATGGTCGTAGCACCCGTCTTCCTCCATGCGCCACTCTTGGGATTTTCGTGTGATCCATCTCACACTAACCCCGGCACGGACCGCACGGCTTGCGCCTCCCACAGAGAAATACGAGATCGCAGCGTATTTGTCAATTCTGTGGACGTGGTCATCAAGCAAAGCTTTGGGGGTCCGACCACTCCACTGCTTTGGTAGTTGCATATCACGAATACGCACGACAGTATTAAAGGCTGGGAGAGTCTCGGAGGTAGGCGTTTCATCAAGCATCGTACCAAATATCCCTTCACTTTGGTCAGTGTCTGAGCCTTCCAACAAATCACTGGTACTTTTTGAGGATGGTGCTGCTATGATTGGAGTAGCTCTGCTGCTGGCACCCCCTTTTCTAAGTTTCCGTGGAGTGGTGTCAGAAATCAAGGAGTCGATTGCATTCGGATTTCTGAGACGATCATGGAGAGCAGCAGAAAGATAGGCATCTTTCTGGCTCCGAAATTCTAAATCTGCATCCTTGGCATTGAACAAATAGTGCTGGCGTAGTTCAACCATCCGCTTGCGAAGCTCAACGGCGATAGAAGAATTGGATAATGCTGCATTCGTAGTAACTTGAACAGGCTCAGCTGATGCCTGGCATACTCGACACTAGGGTCCAAATCCGAGGAGTCCGATGTCGGAGTAAGGGGTCGTGATACAATGGAATTTGAGTCCACTGCAGGGGCAGCAGCGCCCTCAAGCAGAACAGCCGCCAGCTTTGGAGAGGATACCAAAGACGGTGATTCACTGAGTTTCACGGGGGAGAGCCTCGGAGTCTGGCGAGGCGAAGATGCTTGCACTCGTTGGAGTTTCAGGTCTAGGGTGGCAGATTGGAAGGACTGGGGAGTTCTAGGTGGGTCCCCACCAGGTGTACTCGCCTCTCTCGACGTGTGAACGGTTTCTGGTAGGTGTTGAGAAAACTAATGCGGAAAAGCTATGTCCGTCTCACCGTAATCGAGCTCTTCCTCGGAGCAATGTGTACAAAGCTAATGTGATAATTTATTGAGTATGAACAGGGCGATGTAAGAATTGGGCACATTCGCACCCAGCTGAAGGCAACATCGGTATCAAACGATTCGACGTGTCTCAAACAGTCCATGGTTCGCTCATGCGTAAAGCCTAACCGCATCAAATTCCATACAATATTCCCACCTGGAGCAACGCTTTGTCTTCTTGAGTGTCCGGGGGAAGCATGAAAGCTGCAGAAAACTTCAAATCAGACACTATCCAATACGAATACCAGAATTCATACTGTCATCTTGTTTCTCCTCTTCCATGAGCTTGAAAATCCGAAGGCGCAACAGAGGATCGAGTTCAAATTTCGACAAGCCTTTGGCCATTCGGCGCTCATATTCAACGACCTAGCACGGATTTTGAGCATTATTATCGACTGCGCCCGAACGTGAAGTACTTTGAGCATTCTACCGATCTCCCTTTCCGCCTTATCCTGCAGCTTATCCACAATAACTTGCAGCTCATTATTCTCGACTTTCTCCTTAGGTTCGGAACCTTCGCCTGAAGACTTTACAGGTTCAGGAGGATTTGGTACTGGCGAATCAGTGGCAGCATGTCCGGCACTCGCTCCGACTCCCCGGTTCCCCCCTATCATGCACTGCCTTCTTTGTCACCGAGGTGGTTAAGATTGGACGAGCCGCAGCCTGGAGCTTTCGTTTTTTCGGCATCTCGAAGTGCTGAGGTCCTAAGGAACCTAAACCAAAGTGATTATTACAGTTGTAAGGCCGTGCCCTGATGGGAAGTTGGAAGGAGTCTTGAAGCCGCTGGCGGATGAGCAAGCCAAGCAAGACCGAGGGTTACGACGCGCTTCAAGCGCGTCCTGGGAAGAGTGGTCGGCGGGGTGTGATTTCGTCGCTCTTAGTGATAGGATGAGGAACAAAGACACGCGAGATCGGACTATCTCGTATGGTGTAAAACGGTAAGCTCAAGTAATTGTAGAGATCCTGCAAGCATGAGTCAAGTTAGAACAGCTGGCGTTTAAAAGCACGATTGAAGCGTGTTCGCTTTCTGCCGAGGCGCTTGTTTGTCCGTGCGAAATTCTGTTCACTCTAGAAATTGGAGTAATTGGGAAGTAATAGCTGTATACATAAGTACCAGCTGACTACGCCCTAGGAAAGGACAAAGATTAAAGCATAAAGGATAAGGGGTTCTCCAAATAGCCTTTCAACGCTTGAAGGAACTTGGCATTAATAGCGCCATCCACGACGCGATGATCAGCGCTCAAGGTGGCTTTCATGATCTGTTTGGTCCCAAAGCCCTTTTCATTATCAACTGGCACGAGTGTTGGCACAACGGAGCCAAGTGCAAGGATAGCCGATTGAGGAGGGTTGATGATGGCTGTGAAGTGAGAGACACCCATCATACCCATATTGGAAATGGTGAACGAGCCACCCTAGGAGTACATTGGCAAAAAATTCACAAGCGGATCGCATCACTTACCTGATATTCATTAGGTTGTAACTTCCCATCACGCGCCTTTTTCGCTAGGGCTTTGGTTTCGGTGGATATGGTGGAGAGGCCTTTGCTACCAGCATCACGAATAATGGGAGTGATGAGACCTGTTGGAGTGGCCACAGCTACGCTGATATCGGCCCTGTGATATCTAGAAAACGCGAGTGAGTATTAGCAAATCTGAAATGTAAGAAAACTCACTGTCGAATCTTGTCATCAAGCCATGCGGAATTAACCTCTGGGACGTCACGAAGAGCTAAAGCAGTGGCCTTTACAATGAAGTCGTTCACGCTCAGTTTCGCCTTCGACTCTTCCTTAGAAAAGGACTGATTGAAGACCTCCCGCAGTTTAAGCGTGCGTCCCATATCGATATCGGTAGTAACATAGTAGTGAGGCAGATCCTGCTTAGACTTGGTAAGACGCTCGCCAATAGTCTTGCGCATGCTGGATAACGGAATATCGATGAATTCAGCCGGTTGGCCAGGCTGGGACACCACTGTTGATGATGAAACTGCAGTCGCGTCTGACGAGAGTTTATAGTTCTCAACGTCTGCCAAAATGATGCGGCCTTCTGGACCAGTACCCTTGACTTTACCCAGAGGAATACCACGCTCTAACGCCAATTTCTTGGCAACAGGGGAAGCAAAAATTCGGTCGCCCCTTGGAAGCTCCTCTTGGGCTGAGAGGATTTAGCCTCGGCGGGCTTCTTGGGCTCTGGTGCCGGCGAAGCAGGTGCAGGATCTTCCTTTGGTGTCGATTCCGATGGTGCCGAAGACCCCTGTTGAGTCTGAGCAGCAAACTCTGCCGCACCAGACAGATCATCACCCTCCTCCGCCAGAATAGCAATGGTTGTGCCGACTCTGATGTTTTTTGTTCCGTCACTGGACTACCAAAATTCAACCTAAGAATGTTCACACGTTGAAAACAACAGAGCACACATACAATGATTTTGGCAAGCACACCATCATCTTGGGCCTCGACATCAATAGTGGCTTTATCGGTTTCCTGGCGATTGGGGTGACAGTAAATGAGAGATAATTTGGTGTCAAGAAACAACAGTAAAATGGGGACGTACAATCTCGAGAATGACATCCCCGGCGCTAAAAGACTCTCCCTCCTGCTTCTTCCATTGCGTTATACCACCTTCTGTCATTGTCGGGCTCATTGCAGGCATGCTGAACTTAGACAATGCATGTCGGCGAGCTGATAGGTGGATTTCTGGAGACAGCGAGCGTCAGTGTTCGAAAATAACATGCAGGAATACAACACACGTCTCGACAGAATGCGTGCTAAGGATGCCATGGGAAGACCGTTGGCAATGTTTTTGGCAAATTCCCCAAGGACAGGAATTCTCGCGCTTGGGGTACATTTTCCCTCCACGTGACCAAACGCTGGGTTTACTTAGGTAGGAGTTGGCGAATTTATTCGTTTATTCGTTTAGGTAGGACTGACAGAGTCATTAATGAAAATAATGATAACATGGTGATCATACAGATGCGATGTGAATGTCGAAGGGCTACCGACGCCGAGTGTTACTCGTTACTGGGGTGTTCATCGGGCTCCAACCAACTTTCCGCAAATCAAGCTCCTTCCCCTGAGGCTGCGGGTGGGAAGATGACGGGTCCGACCGTGCAGTCGTCGCGTCCAATCCCAGCCCAACACCACTTTTTGTTCGCCCAAGGAGGTTCCGGGCGGCAGGACTTAACATATCAGTTTGAGCGACTCGTCGAGGTGTGAATGCGGGTGGGGGCATGTCTCCAGCTGCTTTGCGTTTGCGCGGAGTGGAAGAGGGGGCAGAAAGCAGGGTTGCCTTCTCACGCAACGACTTTGAAGCCTGAACGCCTAGGCGTCGACCCAATTCATCACGTTTAGATGGTTCCGGTACCTTGAAAGGCGAAGGAATGAAGGTCGACGGATCAAGATCATCCCCATTCTGAATGACTCGTGGAGTTCCAAGAAGAGTTCCCCATGTCATCAACTCCTTCATTGCCTCGGACCCATTTGTGCAGGTGAAGGGCTGGGAAGGGCAGATACAAGCCCGAAACCTTGCACTTTAGGTGTCTCACCTCCATCTTTGTGATAAGGAGTGCCCATGATCGCAGCAGCGACACGACTTCTAGTAGGACTCGGCGGTACGGACGAGGAAGGAACTTCTTCTGATTGTTCGGGAAGGCGAGTATTCGCGTGTCGAACCTCCTTCGGTGGCTCATTGCCGGTGGAAGGAGGAACCGAAGATGGAGGATGATATGGTGATGCATCTGCATCGGGGGTAAACATAAGCGAGTTTCGAGCCTGAGAGAATTCGTTAAACAAAACAACACACGAGATCTCAAGGCCAAATACCTTAAATCGCCAGCCTGGGACACTGGCTGAGCGCATATCCTTTCTCGGCGCCATCACGTCCACTGGCTTGTTTGGTTCGTCCCCCGATTGGTTGCCGTTCGCGCGGATGATGAGAGTGCCTGACGATGACTTAACATCCCCCCCGTCCTCTTCAGCTCCAGATGGCTCCCTCCCTCAATAGCTTCGACTTCCTTCCCCTCAATTTGCCGCTGGATCGTGGACGGCGCAACACTGTTCGTTAGCAATAACCTGTCTCGGCCTTCAATTTCCTTCACTTTGCTCTCATTAACTTTGCGCTCAGCGTCCCAAGCCCACCAGTACTTCTCTCTCCTCTTCTTATTCTCTTCATCCAATATATCAGTGAATGAAGCATTATCCTCAGAAGTGTATTTGGCTTGGAAGGCGTCGAGTGACAAATATGTATCAATGCGCAGTTTTTTCGAAGAACTAGATCCATCCTCTCTACGAGGCGTACGAAGTGGAGTATCAGATGGCCCTTGAGCGTACGGTGTGTCTTGGCCCCAAGAGCTACGAGCAACTGGTGTGGCCTTCAAGTCTACAAGGCGCTTAACAGTCTGTTCGATCCGATCTTGGTCTTGCGAGTCCAATGCAGACAGGTAGGAGTTAGTGGCATCTAGGTGGGCAAGAGAAGGGAAGAAGTCTCGAGCTATGATCTTCGACAAAGCAGATGTGTATTCATCTTCCTCCAAAACAACTTGCCGATTGAGCGAATATTGAGGTACATCTCCCGATGATGGGCCGGTAATAAGTGCTTTAGAGGAGGAAGGTGTTGTTGTGGGTGTTGAGGACATCGCCAGTCGCTTAGTTGCGACCCAGCGCGGAAGTCAGCGGGATGAATGGCAGTGCAGCTGTAGTTCGGCAAACTCCAGTAAAACTAACAACATTGACATCCAGATTGAAAAATGGTGCAGCTAGGGCTTACGCTTCATCTTGTTCATATGCTCAAATTCTTGGTGTAACAGGATGCCGCTTCTGCAAAGCAACCCGTCAAACTTGCCCGCGTCATTAAAGTTTTGGGCCGAACTGGCTCTCGCGGAGGTGTGACCCAGGTCTGTAGATTTTTGCTGCTCATCAGGTATCCGCAGGGCCTAATATCACCTACAGGTCCGTGTTGAGTTTATGGACGAAACGCAACGCTCTATCATTCGAAACGTCAAGGGTCCAGTTCGTGAGTCGGATGTCCTTGCCCTCTTGGAGTCTGAGCGTGAAGCTCGGTGCGTCCAGTGACTCGCTATACAGTAACAATATCCGCTGATCATAATTTTTTAGCCGACTGCGTTGATTTTCTTTTTCAACCCTGTGCTTCTATTGAGATTTGCATATTGAAGAGTTTGACCTATGTTCCGCTATCAATCTCACATGTGAATGAAGCGCCTTCACGTTGACTCCACGTCGAACAAGCCTTGGTATGAAAGCTCAGACCGTGACCACGTACAAATCAGAGTGAAAACACGACATAGGACAAACATCTATGATCATTGTATCTGCGAGGGGATATCATCTTCTATGGACAAGCACATCGGTGGTAGGAGGACAGACAGCTAAAGATACAGTCGTTGTGGCTGCAGGGATGCAAAACGCAGCTTAGGGATGCAAACTGGGAGGCGAGGAGAAACGCATCTGCGGAGCAACATGAATAATAACAACTACCAAACGGAGTTAACCCCTGATTTGGATATGTCTCACCGACAGAAGGGTACTCACCACTTCTATTGAGGGAATGGGACAAGCCAGCAGGTCGCTCTGTGCGCAACTAACGGAGGCTTATGCCCAGAAAAGGAATCAACATAAAACGGTTCCTTTGGAACGTGTGTTAGCCCGGAAACTAGAGGGCATGAGTGAACTTACACTCTATGCAGTAAATATATACCAACGAAGCAGGAGATCAAAGGCTATTGGCTTGGTGCTCCAGGGTATTAAGGTTCAGGTGGAGTCCCAATATCGGTGCTCCTCCAGCCGCCGTGCCAGCGGGGATGGGAGGCGCAGGCGGACTTTCAAGGTGCAATCGGACTAACACAGCTTCTAACGCGGCTACGGACGCAGGTGAAAACTCCACCGTGCGAGCATGGTTGCGGACAGACTCGAATAAGACCGTCATTCGATTCCAGCGAGCCTGATCAGGAGAGACCGAGGCTGGGGTCGAAACACCTTGTAAAGGTATGTTCGAGTGGCGGAGTGAGTGAAGGAGCGCGGAGTGAGACTGGGCGGAAGGAGGGGTAGGGAGCTGTGACTGAGGCTGCCCGATGCTATTTGAGTGCATGCGTGGAGTTGGAGGATGAGAGAGAGGTGGCTGTCTATGATGGAAAGCGGCAGGCGAGGTGTGCACTGGTGTGTGAGATGGTGTATGAGGTTGAGGTTGGTGGGTCTGCCTAACTGGAGATGTCGGAATATGAGAATATGGACGGAGGACGGTTCCATGTGGTCCGCTCAACCCGAGAGCACTCGTCATCAACGAATCGTTCATAGGGGAAGGTAACAACGTATGGTCGCTGAGATTTGCACTATCATCAACGGTGGCACCTCCCATAGACTCAGTTACGTGGTTAGTTTCTGTCATAGTGTCGGAGGGAGATGGCTCATCTTCGCCATCACTCGGCTTCCCCTCGGGATTAGCTTCTTCCGAATCACCAGTACGGCGTCGTTTCTTGGATTCAGCCTTCGCAAGGGCCATAGCTTTCCGCCCCCTTCGAGTGAAAGGGATATTGGCTTCTCCGATTTCATGCGAATGATTGGGATTGTAAGATGCGCGGACTTCGTCGGTTCCATAATAAGTCTTGAAAGATATGGACGCGGGGCATCCTTCCCCCTCAATCTAGTATTCATCCCGGATTCAAAACCGCCGGCGCCGCCGGAAGAAACTTGCTCACCTTGCGCGAGGGAACTTTCCGTTGGCGTTCGGGGTGTTTCTTGATGTACTTTTTCCTGCCGGCTCGGACATGGCGGGCGCACACCAGCTTCGTGTGCTCTTTGAATCGTGGGGGATGGCCTTGGACTGGTGCATATCACCTTTCACGAATTCAATGCACTAGATAATAATAATCGGAAGCAATTCGCATGAGGCCCAAGGCTCGGTAAATACCTTGGATTCTTCCTAATCGAGATCGAGTCAGCGAAGTGCCTGATGGCAAAAAATGGGTGAGAGGACTTCACTTCTTGAAGGCGCCATGCATTGAAGGTAGCCATATTCACAAAAACAAGAGTGTACTGAAGCCAACGTCAGCGGGGTTGACAAAAAGAACAATCCAACACACCCCTTCCTCAGAATCCCCGGCACCATAAGGAGGCTTTGGATGCTGTCCATGTTGGGGGGAAGCCGACGGAGTAGACGGATGTCCTTGAGGGCTGTATACGTCGGCTTGGGGCTGAGTTGGTGTCGTTTGTAGCTGATGCACATGATGTTGTGGCTGGATTTGCTGATGTTGCTGCTCATGAGGGTCGTGAGGGTCGTGCGGCTGTGCGTGCTGGCTTAGCTGGAGGAACTAGAATAATGTTTCCCGTTGGTCCAAAAAGATGGAGGCATGTGCCTGTTACTAACATCTAGATATGTGCTGGGATCGCTGGCCTGGCAAGGGGGGGGCCTGGTCAAAATACACAATTGCAATATGTGCGAGGAAACCTACCGAGTTGACTGGGACAGAAACATATTGAGCATGGCGAGAGGACGGTACGTTCACGCGATACTGCGCATAGGCCATGCAGAGTGCTGTCCACCAGCACGGCTGGACGTGCACTTGATGTCGAGCTCTGTCGAAGGGCGACCAAAAGCTGTCACGCCACCCTTGTCACGCCACCACTCGTCACATCACGTCACGAGTCCCTCGTTGAAAGCGCTAATCATATTCAATCACAGAAATTTCCGAACACCTTCTTTGATTCAAAGGCTCGGCCGCCACCAGGGCCCCATCGTGCCACCGTGAAGGCGTATATCGCTAGCCGCTAGTCGTGATGGCTCCAAGTCTCAGAGCAAGACTGCATCACATCGTTAGATTCAACTCACTCAACGTCACTCTGCTCACGGTTCTTGTGTATCTTGCAATATTCATTACGGTTGAGTGGCAAGATGTCCCGAAAGGCCCCTCTAAGAATACTGGAGACATTAGCTTTAATGAGGCTCTTTTTGATCTCCAAGCTATTACCTCCAGACCACACCCATATAACTCCCATGACAATGACCGTGTTCGGGGCTATCTCTTGACCCGCGTTCAGAATATAACCGCTGGACACGATCGCGCTGAAGTCGTAGATGATCTGGTTTCCAATGCGACGTAAGCATCAGGTACAGCAAATTGATGCCGAGGCAAAACCTTACATTCTGCTTTCCCAGTTATGGCTCTGCATCTCAAATTGTGTACCACGAAAGGTATAAGCCCCTTTCGCCTTACATACTCCCCAGTTTACACCAATCTCCACAGTCTTAATGTTCTCGCCCGGATTGAAGGCACTGCGCCAGCTTTGGATGGGGTGCTGTTCTCCGCGCATTTCGACAGCGTATCCACTGGTTATGGTACGATGTCCCGACAGCCGTTGAGATCATGGATTTTCTCACGGGAGTACATTAGGTGCCACGGATGATGGAATGGGGGTGGCTACACTGCTTCAATTACTCAAGTATTTTGTCAAGCATCCCCCCGCCGAAGCGTTGTATTTAACATCAACAACGGGGAGGAAGATTGGCTCAACGGTGCTCATGTGTGAGTAAATTCACCAGATCTCAGCCTGTCTTGCCTTAGACGATGGAAGCTCATGACGTCACAGTTTCCTGGAACATCCCTTTGCTCGTCGCATTGCCACGTTCCTGAACCTGGAAGGCGCAGGATCTGGAGGGTGTGTAATTTCCACGAATGCCCAAGCGGTCATATCAACTCAAGTATTTCCTTGCAGTCGTCCTTTACTCTTCCGGTCTTCCAATGCTAAGGTCACGAAAGCATTTAAAGCAGCACCCCACCCGCATGGAAACACAATTTCAGACGACGGCTTCAAGCGTGGCTTGGTCAGGTCAGGCACTGATTATTCCGTCTACGAAGCTTCTGGAATGCGTGGTTTGGATTTGGCATTTTATAAACCACGAAGCCAGTACCACACCAAATGGGATAGTGTGTCGAATCTTAATGGTGCTGCATCGCTGTGGGCCATGATGGAGTCGGCATTAGCTACAGCTCATGCACTGGCAAATGACGCATCTACCACCGAGAGTGATGAACCCTCCGTTTACTTTGATGGTAAGATTCAATTTTCCCCCTTCATAGACTAATATCTGACTGGAATCGTCTGGCGAAGTGCTCGGGGAAGCGCTGGTGGTGCTTACAAGAAACACAGCTTTTATCATCAATCTTCTGATATTGATTCTTGGACCAATATTCGTTCTCATCCTAGGGGCATTCACTAAAGCCCAAGGCAAATTATTTCTGTCCTGGCGAGGATGGATGCGCTTTCCAGTTGCGTTCATTTCCACTGGCACCTTGGTCATTGGGTTGAGTACGCTTATAATTCACTTCAACCCATTTGTATGTTCTCGTTCGCCCCCGCAGATTCCTACTTAAATACTTAGCCTCACACCTCTCTAGATCATCTACGGCTCGGTTCGCACCGTTCTCTGGTCATTAGTGGCTTTTGCATTCCTAGTTCACTATGGAGTCCTACGAACAGGGGAACGATTGAGACCCGTGGAGTCGCAAAGGCTCATTATACTCATCGAACTCTATGTGCTCTGGTGGTTTGCTCTCCTCTTTGATACTGTCATGCTTCGCAGCCGTGAAATAGGCGCGCTCTACCCTATCCTTTTCTTCCATGGAGGAGCGCTATTGGCGCTACTAGCTGGTCTTCTTGAAGCTCTGCTTCTATCACGCAAGACACCACAGGAAGACCTGCCAAGTGACCCGGACGACCCAAACGCAGTCACTGAGACGCTTTTGGAGCGACCAGAAAACCATGAAAATGAGCATGCGGAAGGGCTGTCTGAGCGTACACCATTGCTAGCTGAGATAAGACGCAAAGTCGTGGGACTCAAGAGTGAACAGGACGAGAAAGAAGCTGGTGGACTTTGGATTTCGCAATATGTTTTGTCTATACCATTCCCGGTGCTCTTTGCAGCCCAGACCGCATTGTTCGCAATGTACAGTCTGCATCAAACCCTTGCTGACGGTGCCGCGCCAACCACAGGTATGGATTCGCCTGTTCAACATTCTCACATAGTAACTCATGACACTCATAACAGTTTACGCGTTCGCTGCTATCTTCAGCATCATGATGGTCCTACCGCTGGCTCCATTCATACACCGTATTCATTGCAAACCTATTCTTCTCCTTGCTCTCTTCTTCGTTATTATAACCCTCTACAACATACTAACCTTCCCCTTCAGCTCCTCTGCACCATTCAAAGTTTACTTCAAGCAAACACTGGACATTGAAACAAACACCAATCACGTTTATTTACGTGGCGCTCGTCGCTACCTCGAGCACCCAGTGGTCGACTCCATTCCTTCTTCACACAGCCAAGAGGTAATATGCGAACAAAGCTTTGTTCGTCTACCACTTTGGTCTTGTCGTTGGTCGGGCATACCTCCCAACGTCACTCAATCCGGAAACAAACCCTTCACTTTCGCCGCGAAGCGTCTATCCAACCGCAGTGAAGCACGATTCAAAATCAAAGGTCTGAATACTCGTGCATGCCGCATTTATTTCGACAAACCCATCAAGTATGTTCACGTCCACGGCGCATCGCAAAACGGGACGCTCCAACAAGGATATGAGCCTGATCCGCAAGGCGCAACCATCGTCAAGTTGTGGAGTCGTACCTGGGACAAGGAGTTTGTAGCTGATGTTGGATTCGGCCAGGACGGTGCAGAATTGAGGACAGGTAGAGTTGCATGCGAATACTCGGAGAACTTGAGCGAAAGAATCCCCGCATTGGAAGAAATCGGAGTCTTTCTACCTGAGTGGGCTGCAGTAACTAAGCTCGATGATGGCCTGGTTGAAGCCTACCACAAGTTTGAAGTGTAAAATTCGTTGGTTCTATCGTATCCTCGAAAAAGTTATTCAATTTTAGTTGCTTGTTTAGTTTTGATTGGGAACAAACGTTCATTTGCCACTTGTAATTTACAGTACAATAAGGCGTAACAGACTCCTAATATAAACTATGTCCAAGAAAGTGGGGAGCCATCGAGCAAGAATCAGACCCGTTATACGACGCATGTTATACGACGCATGGCTGTCGCGCAATTACACATCATCCCAACCACCTTCAGAAAGCTTGTACGAAGCCTCGCTTTCTGGCTGATCAGGACTGTCAACTAGTTTCGCTACACGTTCTTCAGCCCGTCCTGAAGTGCATTTCGAAGAAGGGGGTCAGTGGTTAAAGGTATAGAGGACTAAAGGTACCTTTGCGAAGGAAGAGTCGAGAATGGGAAGCGTGTGAGAGGATGTGACCACCAATCGGTTTCACTGCCCAGGGGTGTCAGACGATATCCAAGAAATCAGATCATCCAAAATTGTTGCGTCCTTACGTGCTGCTCCACCAGAAAACACCATGGTCGCACCAGGGTCAGCTGTAAAGAAAAATTAGAAATTTCACGCCCGCCGATGTGGGGAGACGCGCACCTTGCACTTGATTAGTGAGTAGTACGGCAATCTATACAAGAAATGTCAATTCCAACCATAGCGGCTCATGCTTAACCCGCACATTGAACTCTTCGGTAAGCTTCGAAAGGCGTGTCAACATCTTTGATAGAGTCAATTGTACTACGCCGTACTCAATACTGAAACAGACGCACTTGTGCCAACTACGTTGTCATAAGAATGGATGAGTGTGTTGGAGGGCGAAGCCTGGAGTATTCACTCACCTTCTGTTGCCTCTCGCTCAGCTCTCCTCTCCCAGAATAGTCAACTCGAAATAATGCCATAATACTGTCAACAATCTGGAGTTCGCCGTGGGACGCCTGTCCGCTTTGCTACCGGAGATAATCATACCAGAAGCTTATACGTCTTCTCCTCTGCAAATCGGTTTGCGCATTCCTGGATCAACTCGTACTGATTCTCGCTGTTGTAAGCACGCGCTACAACATCCATGAAATGGGCAGGGTACAGAGGTCTAAAGGGAAGTAAATACCATAAAGAATATTCTCTAAGGCCGCCTCCCCATCAATACCGAATCGATCCGCGATGGCGCGAATGCGGTCCGGCCGGAAAGTTCCCTCAGTGTCAATATACGCAACCTACAGAAGTGAAAGAGAAGCAAATAGGGAAACCACTCCACAATGTCAAACCTTTCCGCCGCACCACCCATCTCTTCTGGAAGTTGCGCAATCACAGACAAAGTGTGAGAAAGTTGAGTTTTTCCAGTTCTGAACTCCCCATAAACTGAAGAACCGATTATGAGAGAGATACATCAGGCATGGGCTGTATGCAAACCCTCAGAGATAGACTGGGATTGTAGCCCCCCTACAGGTGCAAGCAGAATCAATGGGGCTGCATCAGGAACGGGAGCACCAGACGAACCGCCGAGCATTGCGTCGACTGACTTGCTCCCCGTACTCAAGCAGAAGACCCTTCGCCTGCTTTCAGAGACTTGTACACCAGTTTGGAATGGAGAGCCCAGGACTTTGTGAACCGCTTCCTTTGTGGAGTCTCAGATTTTCAATGGTAGCGCAAAGACCCTAGTCAAGGAGACAATACCTTTATCTTATCCACTTTGGCTTCAGACAGACCCTGCACATAGACGTACTACTTGTGAGAATGCGTGATAGAGTTGTCGGACACGCCCCCACCTTTAGCTTCAAAAGATTACGTTTAGAAGTCATATGAACCGAGGATACGGTGTTAAGAGATGCTGCCTATCGAAAAATAAAGCTCGGTTCCCCGTTAGAAGAGCCCAACGTGGAAGAACGACGCGCCTTCAATTTGTTTATATCTTGTGCGTTAATTCCCTGCAAAGATTGGAGTCAGATAAAATCATCCACCCTCTTGGGACGCGTTAGACGCGTCTCAGGGTAGCGATAGCACATTACAGCTTTCGCAGAATGCGCTGGATGGCGGAAGAGGAGAAATCGCGCACATGAGCCTGCAACTCATCAACATTGATGAAAGTAACTTCCTGAACGAATAAGGCAGCTTCAGCGGGAAATAGCGTAGGTATCTATGCAGTTTCTCACATCGACTTCCGTTTCTTCTGTGGAAATAGACGCGTCTTGGGGCATTAGAGTAGGGACTAGCTGACAACTTGGTGGTAGAATGAATATTGAGGCTGGATCGGGAATTGATGCACATGTGATTCACTGGGACCGTGAGAATCTCCGTCAACCGAGGTGTCACCTTTCTTTGCTTGGCGCCGAGGCATTCCTCAGGTACTCCCAACCACATTACCAAGGAATCAATGGTATAGGCCCCCTAACGGAAAAATGTACGTTTGTCGAGTGGGACGATAGTAGATTCGGATGCACCGTGATTCATCCCACATACTAGCATGTGCGGAACATCACGGAAATCGGACACAAGGCCCCCTATTTCAGAGACTCATGGAGACTCACGGGGACTCTCAGAGCACCTGGGAGCACCTGGGAGGTTCTCGTGATTTGAATTATACCAAGGAGTAGCACGTACAATGAGATCGGATACTTTTCGGGTTTTCGGACTTTCCCAAGGCTAGAATGAGAGTAATGGAATGACCAGGGAAATATCTCTCGCTCTGAAATGAACCCTGAAGCATGGATCTTATACTGGCCTTTCCTTCCACACGTCTGCTGACTCTGTTTCCCCATGAGAACATAATGCTACGTTTATGACAAAGTCACTCGCCTCGCACTTTCTAGCCTCCTCATTCACTGGACTTTGGTGGCTTGGCGTTGCACCTGTCGCACTGGCGTAGCAAATCTCGCCCAGATTGCTTTCACCCGCCTCACATCAGTTGCGTCTATGTACACAAACAACCAAACACCACTCTCATTTGAAGATCGATTATCCCCCAGATCCTTTGGCCCTCTTGTATGTTCCATTACCTTGCGCAAGTATCCTTCTGAGCGGTGTCACAGTCCCGTGAGGTTTGAGCACTGAAAGAGGGCAGATATCTCGACGACTATCTCATTGTACAAATACCTACCTGTCCCCTCCTGAAATACAAAACGATCTACCTTGCACAGTGAAACTGTTCACTGACTCGAATAACAATGGTTCATCACCCTCAGAGGATCTTCTGACACTCTCTGAGTCCAACGATGCTGCTTTAAACCTCATGCACCACATCGCCTCTCACGTCATTGGTCCGCACATTATGGCTTCATCTGTAACACTACATCTTTCCACGTCAAGCATGTCAGCAGATCCTTTGCCCATATATCTAACGAACACAGCTTCGGTTCTTAACCGGCCAACACAATCAGGTCCTTTGATTCTCCTGTGATGTTCCCTTGCTGGACATTCAAATTTGGAATAGCAGCTCAAACGCTTTCACTGACTTCGGCTCTATTGCCACTCACTAGTTCATATCTTACTCAGGCAATCAGGATGATCAATTGAGTCATTTACTCATTCACGGAGAGTCGAGAGCTACAAACCTCAGTTACAATGGATGTTTCCTTGTTGTACAAGCAAAATGATACCGCTGAACGCAACACCATCCTCCCTCATGGCTCAAAATTCGAATCTTCGTTTGATTTCCACCTCTCCTTCATCGTTTGACCCACAACAAATAAAAGAATTTGGATAGCCAGTGAGACCGTGAAGACTCCACTAGATGAACACCCCAAACATGCCAAGATCGAAGCCAATCACATCCACTGTTGAGACTCACAAAGAGTTAAACCGGAAGATCCATAGCCCGATTCTGCAGCGTAACGAGAAATGCCCTGGCGTTGTGCAATGTTAGAAATTCTGATTAGTGCACGTGGAGAGGCGTTAACATCGTAGAGACGCGAGAAGGGAAACTAGAGGTCGTCAATATCGACGTCTCCACCATCTTCACCGAAATCAAAGGTGCATTCTCCGTCTTCCTCACCAAACTGATCAGTTTCATTGATCTTGGCATTTTCTGGCAGTTCGCCGTAGGCTTTGAGATTACGAGCTTCATCAGCGGTGTATTTGACGATCACATCTGCCTTGTCGTCCTGAAAATCACGCAGCGACAGTAATATGATATCCCCTTGATTGATCCACACCTGACGTAGGTAGCGTAAGTACCCGTCATGCAGTGCTTAGTGATTCCTCACCTTCTTGCGCATCTTCCCTCGGATGTGAGCTAATCGTTTCTCGCCATCAAAGCACTGCGCTTCGAGACGTCCATTGCCAAGCATCTTTATCACTTGGGCATATTCTATCGCGAAAAGTCGTGCCTTGTTTATCTAACGGAGGGCGCACAAACGCGCACCTTGTCCATCCTCTTTAAAAACAAGCTCGCGTTTGTCATCATCGTTCTCGTTCTTTCCTCGTCTGCGATTTTTCCCTCCTTTCCCCTTGTTCTTTAGAAAGATGAGAACGGGAGAAGATCCATCGCGCATGGAGATCTGCACTAACCTTGGGCATGACACCTGCTGGCTCTTGGATAAGGGGTGAAGTCTAAGGTGTGGTTATGGTCACGTGATATTTTAAAAAAATATCAAAAAAATAAATAAAAAACAAGTGGTTAAAAAAAGTGCGGGATTATCTTGGGCTTTTCTCATGCATCAGAAGAATCTCAGAAATCCACCTGGCTGAAATTTACCTATAGAGTAATCGTGCAAAGTTTTGAAACCGATCGGCACAGAGGAAAGGCACATTTTTGCAATTTTTGAAGCCAGAAAGTCCGATGCCAATGCCATTCAAGTTTGAAGAGAAATTGTTGAGTTATAAAGTAATATGGTAAAACGCAACTTGAGCATGCCAAAATTCAAGCGAAAAGGATCACATTTGGGGCTCAACTTTCGGGGTGGGCGCCAAAAAAAACAGGTCACGTGCCAGGTCTTACCGACCTCAAACCTCTTGCAACTAATCTTTTGTCCAATCGGCCTCTTAACCATTCACAAGGGGCAATCGTTCCACTTCCTAGTCTCCTAAATGCCGGGGGATAGAGCTTCTTGGAAGCACCCCAAGAAAAAGATCGCTTCCCCCAAACCCAATGGCGTATCAGGGCTCGTATGACTCATCAGAATATGTGGTCCATGATTCAGAGCCCTCAAAATTAAGGAAGTGGCTAAATAGCAGTTTGACATGTGGCGATACCTTCATCCTGATGATAAGGACATACCGAGGGTTAGGGTCTTTACCAGGATATGGATCTCGATGGAGAGGGGTATCAGTTCAGATAGCTAGAAAGTACCGTAGGGAGGATGGCGAGGCCAGAGATCCAGGCGTGTTTGCTTATTGTAAGCGTCACCGGATCATGCCAATAATAGAATGAAAAACGTGGTTCACTCTTACGCCGTTCGATCCAGCCAGAGAGCCGCAACCGCCGCGACCACATATGTCACCCAGCAAGCTACCTGACTCTACACACCCCAAGGATACAACTTACCTGATCACACCAACCTAATACCTTTGTATCGCCGATTCCCTCATGTACGCAACGGTGTATAGAGCTAGAATAGCCACAACAACAATTAACAATGCACATATATTTGGGTTTTGCCTCTCATACAAGGCCCCAATTGCCCATTGGCACTCTTAAATTGCGAACAACACTCAGTCGTCTTCCTTTGACATTATATCGCGAGGGGAACACAGGGTGGTGGGGTTCTACGTCAGCCAGATCATGCTTTTCGTTATATGTGAAAAGGATTAATCATCTGAACGAGCGATAACACTGGGAGCACTCTCACAAATAACACACAAAGCGCCCTGGCTTCAAGTATCGACAGATACCGGGTCCAATTCTAGTTATCGAGAGGTTGATCTCTTCCAGTACGCGCTGTTAATAGCAGCAGCCTGGACTACATCGAAAACGGTCTCGCCGACTCCTAAAAACTTGTCCGCGATAGACTTTACGTTGGGCTCAGTAATGAGTGATGTCTGCGGCCTGGAGAAACAGGTAAGTGAGCTGGTACTTGGACCAAATCTTACGGAAAATAACTCACTCAAAACCACTCGAACGTTTCACACCAGCAATCACTGTAGATAGTAGAATACCATCGATGGTATAATGAACAAGTTTTCCAAGCATGGCTCGCTCAATAAGACAAACAATAAGATGTGTTGGGCCACGGAGAATTAACACGTGCTTCACAAGTCTCCCGTGGGAAAATCCCCCTCGAAATGTTTAGCTTGAGTTTTGGTTTCTATTTTCGCCGCTTCGTCTGGCCCAGGTCATGCCAGCAGTGTTATTCTGCTCTCTTTCAAATCTCATGTTAGAGGCGAAAAGTCCTAGAGGGGTTCGGATGGTCAGACGCTCTTGACCGCCCATGCCTATGCATATGCACCTCAACTCCCGCTTCTTAATGTTTTGGACGTTCCTCTGTGGGCAGCGTTTACCATCAAGGTTTCTCCGATTTCGGAATTTCTCTGTCAGATGCTGCGGTGACATTTCTTCACATCCAACCAACTGGCTCCAGTGCACCCTTGCTTCGGTGGAATGCTACACTATCCAATTGAGATGACATATGTGTGGCGAGGGGCGCTTCAGCGTTGGAAGTTCCTTCCCTCACATCAGTCTTCTCGAAACAGCGGGGGGGCTCATTGCGCACTAAAATCTTCGTGCAGTTTCTAAACCTTTGCGTGATTTATGCTCTCATTCGTATATCAGCTACTAAACACCTTCTCCAAGATGATTCCTTGTCATTTCTGCGACACTTAGTCAACAATGCCATCATGGTCTACCAACGACGAGATACGGACTACCTTCTCGCTTCCCCTCTGCTCGTACTTTGATTGCATTCACGAAAGCGCTCCAGTGGAGTTGATACCACGGCTGAAATCGTTCATATACTGTGATTTTCTTACCAGAATCCGAGCTTGATATTTGATCTATACTCAGCCCAGGTTACTGGGTCAACGAAGAGGTGCTGTGCTCCTGGCGAAGATTGAGCCAAGCCATTCACAAATCCCGCATTCCACAAAGTCTATTTTGGTTCACTGTAACTATTGATATCGTCCTCCCCCTGCTGCCAACTTATAAAGTGGCATTCCGAAATGCATTGCTGGCAATCGCGCCTCGCGCTGGTGTATCCATGAACGTCAAAGAAGGTAGCATTTGCCGTTCGGTGTTACTTCTTTGTGACGGTATGTCTCTTCATCTCTGCCACGATGTCTATTCAAAGCGAAATAGACTCAGTTCGTGCATCCCATCCCGTTCCGTTCCATTCACCATTCGGCTAAGATGACTCTAGGACTATCCTGAAGAATTTAAGAGCACCCCACTTTACACTGCCCGCCGTCCTCGATCTAATTCCCCCTCTCGCTTCATCCCGGGAAAGTTCGAGGTTCTGAGGATCTTTAACAGTGCGAGGATCGATTCGGTATGTGGCCACTCCGATACCACGTACGACGTTACCCATTGCCTTCTCCCTCTCATCTCTGAAGCCGATGTCGCATTCCCCAATGCCGCTCCACCTTCAGGACGTTGGCAATCACGCAGTGGCTGCCGCGACGGATGAGAACTGTTTGTCTCGTCGAGTGGAGTCTCGTCGCCTGTCGACAATGTGGAGCATAAGATTCTCTACGCGCTCTCGCATCCAGCTGAGGCAGGTCAACTTGTACATATACAATCACTGTCGCGCGATCGCGCAAGGATGTTTGGATGCATGGAGTACTTTAGTGTGAACAACTCACTGTACTGGTGCGAACTAACGATTCATGTGTCCCGACTGTAATCACCTTTCCGAGGATTTCAGGAGAAAAAAAAATAGAAAAATGACGATTGGCACATTGATCAAACTAGTCACAAATTGCAAAAATTAAAGTAGAATGCAAACCATAATAAATACATCGAGTTGGCGAACAACAAGAACAGGAAGCTTGCAGGCGATCGATCGATCTCAGACACTTTACGGGGGGGGCATGTATGTATGTATGTATGTCCCTTTCACACACAAAGTCCCCCCCGGGAAAAACAGCCAAACCACACACAGATTCAACGAATCCGCCCTCACATCATCATGAACACAGCAAAAAGGAAGCCAGAAATGGCACCAACGAAGCTCACGGCAGTGCTCTTGTGTGCTGCACCCTTAGACTTGGTGCTGGTGGTCGAGGCGCTCGAGACAGGCTTCGTTCCCGGTAAAGTAGACGTGAGAGTCTTAGTGTCGACGGGCGAAGTAGAGAGCGGGGTAACGGTAGCGGTACCGACTTCCACAGTGAAATAAGAACCGGCAATTGGAGAACTCAAGCTAAATCATATATATATATCGCCCCGTCAGCCGAGGAAGTTTTATGACACACCCCAAGGTGAACAAAACATCAACTTACCCGGCTTCGCTAACGTAGCGCGTCAAACTAAAAAAGAAAAAGAAAAGGTTTAGAGTTAAAGGACGAGACCGGGATAGAGAAAAAAAAATCAGAAGGTAGCCTACTTGAACAGTTGGACACCAGTGTTGGGTTTGGGGGTCGAAGGGCCACGAACGTAGCTGGTTGAGGGTACAACAGGAGAGTGTACCGATGAGGACCACTTCCAGAAGCAGGGTAGGGTCCGGCGTAGGGAGAATAGTAGCATTTCCAGAGCTAGTCAAGGTGCCGTTACTACCGATTTCTAGAAGATTGATCTCTGTCAGACAGGATAGTTTGAACGTATGTATCTTGGCGTATCTCACCAACATCGTTCGAGAGCCAGTGAACGTTGTAGCCTATGAAAACAATGATCTGAATTAAAAAAAAAAAAACCTATCACGGCACCCAACGAATAAGACTCACCATTAGGATTGCTCGATCCAACATAGTTCAAGTCTACCATCAAAATAGTATACTTTGTAGAAGAACTAACGAACGCGCCAAGCTCAAAACTTTGTGGAAAAAAAAAAAAACAGACAGGCCAACAGAGCCCCCAAACTTACGTGTTGGACGTCTCGACATTGATGACAGGTTGGTGAGAAGTGTTATCCCTAGCGATAGGCTGTCCAACAGAGCTAAAAGGGCGCGAATCGAAATCAGCAACCCAAACCCCAAAACCCGTAGACAGGAACGACGACGAACATCACTCCAACGGTGGACGTGAAATCAACTACAAGCAGCGCGGAAGGGTCAAACGACGGTGGTCCATCCTAAAACGGCAGGTCTTAAGTACAACAACCTCCAAAAAACGAAACCCACGCGTCGAAATCCACGTACAGGAACGATGTGCGCATTAATGAACTGCTGTTTAACAACAGCAAGCGCCAACGAATCAGGCGCTTGTTCCCAAAAAGAAAAAAAATCCGTTGGCACGCGTACGTCGCAAATTCGATCTATCCTTCCACTCACCGGTAGCACGGACGAGGGTTGCAACAGCTACAACCCAAAGAGCAGAGACGGTAACGGTAAAGGAGCGCATCTTTTTTAAAAAAAAGAAAATTCGTAAGGAGTGTGGGGGGGGTGTTGTTTTATACGTTGATGGTTGGAAGAGAAGAAAAACGATCAGGTTCGAATGGATCCAGCCGGTGGCAGTGCAATGCCAAGCACAAATTCAAACAACGCCGCGCGCGCGGGGGGCTTCCAATCGGCTCTTCCAAACGTCGACCAGCAAAATCCATGCGAATGGGGTTGGGTTAAGCCAGGGTTAAGCGCTCAGTATAAGAAACGTGGATGTACGTAGAATTAAGCGGTTCGGACTATCAACATCATGGTATATGTGTGGCCATTGCGGCGCTAGCGCGCTAGGGTAATTACCAGCCTCTATTGGAATACTAGAATCCAGCGAAAAACAAAACAAAAAAAAAAACACTGCATGGCCCGCAAGCGTTTTCGGTAGCATTGGTACAAGTCCCATCCGAAAAATTCAAAATTCTGAAATTGCAACAACATCCAAGGAAGAAGAAGCCTAGCTAGACTCGACTGTTACTAGCTCCAACTGCACCCCCACTGGCAGCGCGATTTCGGATCTTGTGTTGATGGGCGCTGTTAATTTTTTTTTCACCCCCACTGCATGCCGCTCAATCGATCACGCGTCGAAGCGGGTATGTACAGAAACCAGGTGCTACGGGTCTCTTTTGAAGCTCCATCCTATCTTCTATAGCCACTCAGCTCAGCCTCTCACTTTCTTCTCGTTTCGCTTCCAACACCTTGCTTGGCGGCCCCCCGCAATATATATACACCCTGTTTCCCAGTCTACAGGGCATGTATATGTATGGGTGAAGGCCGGCCGCGCTTTGTACAAGTACAACAAGAAGATGGGGGGGAGAGACGATAAGAAACTACTTAGTTTATCTAACCCCGTAGTTCGAAACTGCGAGACTGTCGAGTATCTTCGCAAGTCGAATCAAAAGAGTTAGTACCAATTACTATCAGAAACAGAGTAAACAAACAAAGTGCGGAAGGTACACTAAAAAGAGTACAGAAAGTAATGACCAAAAAAAAGAAAAAAAAAAGAAAAGAATAAAGTATAAACCAAAGGGATAACTAGTTCACACCCTCACAGGACGAAGTAAAGGAAGGGGAAATCTCGAACTATCAGCATTCCTCCTCCTAGAACCCGAAACCTCCAAATCACTCTCCTCATCCTCATCCTCCCCATCCTCCCCTCTTCCTCCAGCTCATCCGCATCCTCATTGACCTCACTTCTAACCGACTCCTCATCCTCGTCATCCGATCCATGCATCGCAATGTCCTCATCACTGTTGTACCCTACATAAGCACGACCAGGGCGAAGTCCACCAGACCTTGAACGAGCACCATTCGGGGTCGAGGAGGAAGGACTCGACGAACGAATCTCACTACCTCGACTACGCTGCTGTTGCTGTTGTTCATACGCTTTCTGAATCGACTTGAGATGATTAACAGGAACAAGCTCTCGATGTCGTCGAGCAAAATCTTCATTGATCCAGATAAACAGACGTCGGATGAGTTGTAAATGTTTGTGTTTCTCTTCTTGAGACGTCGGCATCCCGGAAGAGGATGAAGAGCCGCATGCTGCGGATGACGCGGTAGAGGGACGCGAAGCAATATTGATACGGTTGATGTCGCTCGCAAGACGATCGACGGTGTGAGGACGGGAAGGAAGAGGATCGAATAACAAAGTCCGAACGCTTGGAAGCGTAATCTTCCCAGTCTCTGTGGGAGTTAACAACACGTCTTGATGTGGGGTACAAGGTCGGGAAGTCGTATCGGAACGAAGATCGTCGCCGCTTTCGAAGGGGTGTGTTTCGGTACCCTTCGACGACGAGGTAGAATGCGATGAAATGGAAGGAGCTCGTCGTCGAATCTCGGGAAGTTTAAGGGAGTGATCAGGATAGCTTGATGGCAATTCCAACCCGCAGGAGGTGCGCTGGGCGAGCACAGACGCTGGCCCAGAAGCCATGATCCTTGGCTCCACAGGTCGTACCCTGCCAATTTTAGCGTTTCCTTGGGCATCATCCAGGTTCATAGCACAACCACCATCAGCAGATGATGATGAGGATGATGAGGATAAAGCCGTAGAACCGGGGGTACGGAGGGCAGGGTTCAAGCTTTGCAGTTTTGGGACTTGCCGTAAAACAGGCTTAGGCGCAACAATCTCCATCCCCATCTTCGGTACGTGCTGATTGAACGTGTCATTAGCCGCACGTAAGCGCACATCATTGTTTTGCCCAAGAATTTCATCTAATGAATATTCGGGTAAGATCGGAACACCAACGTTTGGCGCATGGCCGAACTGCCCTGTGGATGAATCGAAGGGTAAACCCAAATCGAAAGGGCCGGCGCCAGGAATATGGTAGTTTCTGCTCTGCTGAGTGGAGAAAGGTTGCGGGGATGGAGATACAGGTGCCGATATTGAGGCTGATACGGCTGATGGTGAGGAAGACGAGGAAGAGACTGATCCCGAGAAAGCGGTAGCACTTGTCGCCCGAGGAGAAACGTTAACGTGAGCACCGGTATTCGACGGACCGATTTGAGCGGTGGATGACATGTGAACTCTTTGAGGGGAAGGTGATGACCGACGAGAGCGTTTACGATCATGTACGATCGGCCTAGGCGCACGCTTGGCGGAAGAAGATGCACTGGTGTCTGTTCCAGAAGACGGAGGCCTGTTGTTGCTCTCGACGTTTGGAATATCGGAAAACCCAAAATGAGTGTTGAGTGGGTTCAATGGACCTTGCTGACCTTGAGGGAAGGATAGAGATGAAGGAAAAGTAGAGGGCAAGCCCGACAAAGGATTAAATTCCGCAGCTCCAGTGGCGCTATTTTGATGATAACTCTGCTGACCGTGTTGCCCGAACGCCGGCAGACCAGTCAACGCCGCAATTGAACTCAGATCCATATAAGGTGTTGATCCCGCTCCTCCGTTCGCGTGTTGACCATGCTGACTCATCGTTGCCGCCGCCGCCGCCGCAGCAGCCAGAGCACTTTGGTACGCTGCAGGACTCACCATACCCAACGCTCCCAAGGCACCAAGACCGTTAAATCCGTTCATCCCGTTCATTCCATTCATCCCGTTGTTCAAGGCCGCGAACCCCGGAAAGGCCCCTAAGCCAAGGCCGGCCATTCCAAGACCGAACCCACCTAACGCGCTGATCGGAAAGCCTAGTCCATAAGAACCAAAACTTGGCATGCCAGCCATAGTATTGTTGAAACCATTCGGGGATGATTGTGTACCATCCACGTTGCCAGTGGCGTTGTTCGTATTGGCGGCGTTCGCGCTGGCACTGATTTGCTCAGAAAGCCTAACTAAGAATGCGTTCACCATCGCTAGTTCCTCAAGGTTAGTCGGAACGACCCCAGGGTTGAAAACGGGTGGCTGAGGTAGGTCGAAGCCGCCTGATGGGACTTGGTTGGGCACATGATTCGACCCAGGATTGCTACTGAGAAGCGCGGCATGTTGTACCTGAGTCTGAAATATTTGTGCGAAATTAGAAAGGGCAGAGAGGCGCTCGATCATCGCTGTGTTCAGGATGTGTCAATGAAGCATAAAATTCGGGCCGGGGAGTTATGGACTCACGAGCATCATACGTGGGTGAGAATTTTCTTCGCTTCATATCATGGAAAAAGTCTTCCACCACAACGTTATCGTGCGATCTCTTCGCACCCCCTTTAAAGTGAGGACCTTCATCAGAAGAATAGAGATGGGAAGGGTCATGATTCCAACTGCGAGAGTGCCGACTTTCCGGATAGTTAGTGTCCAGGAAAGCGTCGTGTGCAGAGTCTGCAAATAGCGTCAGAAGTTGTAAGATTACGGAGAGAGAGAAGACATCGAGTGCACTCACCTGGCGACGGCGCCTTGTGCTCTCCCGGGCTTGACGGGGTCCCCGAACCCCCTCGACGATCATCACGACAATGGTCATCCTCCATGTGGGGATACCGCTGGAGATGCTCATTGGCCCGAGCAACAGATGCAGGATAGTTCCTATTGGCTCCGGAGACGGCAGAAGTAGCGCCGGCGCGGGTCTTGAGGGAAAATGTTGGATCAGAGACAGTGATAGCTTTTGAGTGTTTATGCTGAGCGTGATGTTCCTCGGTATGGATCTTTTCATGTTTCTTGAGGTCCTGCGGGCGCTTGAAGGTCTTTTGACATATTTCGCAAACATGTGGTTTCAGAGGGGTATGGACTAAGAGTAACAAGGTGGCAAGGGGGCAAGGGAAAGGTGATGAATAAGAACTTTGACATACGGGACGGTTTCAAGATGGAAGACAGAGGGAACGTTACCTCGTAGGTGACTAGTAATGTGGTCTCGTTTTGCACAGGTGGTATTACAGCCCTTCCATTTGCAAGAAAGACAAAGGTTGTTTGTAGATTTCCTGCCAATATGATCATTGCAAAGATGAACGTAGAGCTGCTCCGGGTCTGAGGCGATAACCGAACAACCCTGCCACTCGCAACGGTGCTCGTCCGTTTGAGTGCGAGTTGTCGCTGTCGGTGGAGGGGAAGAACTGCTCATTCGACTTGCGGCTTGTCGAAGGGTAAGAGCAGATGGTGAACGAACAGGGGATAAAAGGAAACTTGAAGGAAAGGAAGAGAGAGGGACGTAGGAGGGAGTGCGAGCGGCCGCATCCGGCAATTGTACTGCGCTTGGCACACTGGGGTCCACGTCGGGACATGAAATTCAACTGAACGTCAATGTTTTCCCCATCAAAAAAATCGTTAAAAAAATGTAATAGGAAAAACTTTTCATCTATCTCTTCTTCTATGTGTTTGCTGATTCTTCTGAAGCTCTGAACAAGTCAACGACCAGAGAATGTTTGACTCACGTGATGTTTCCTGTGAGCGAATTACCAGCTTGGCGGAAAATGATCACTTGGCCTTGGCGATAAATATATGGTGTGATCGGATCAACTCTATTGGCCGCAACTAAACCTACCCCAGCCGATGCACGTGATAGAACGTCAACTCCCATCAATGGTAATATGATATAAATTAATTTGCTCATTGGTGCCCTGAAGAATTCAAGGGAACCTATTCAGTAGCTGCGGATGATCACAAGCGCCAGGCGTCCGTATGTGATTTTTTTGTTTTTTCATATTCGATATCTTTAGATCTCTAACTCACTTGCTGCGGATTGGCATACAATAAAATTGAATAACCACGAGGAAGGGGGGCCGCATCGGAATTGAGCTGGGAATTCAATATTTGCATCCTGGAAGCGGAAAATAGATTTATGTATGTATGTAGTAACTCAGGAATCTTATCATCAATAATTTGTCCTTAGCGTTCATCTTCCTTTACTTATTATCCCTCCCCTATGGACTTCGCAAGTGGCACAACACCATGCAAACCTCAATAAAGAAAGAGCTAATAATATACCTTTCGTAATATCACCAGTAGCAAAGGGAAACTCCTTCACTCTCGGTTAAATGTCAAGGGCACTCATGACCGAACGTGTAAGGTGGCTTCCTGTAGCGTGTTGCCTCCACTTGCTCAATTGTAAAATCGCATTACAGATCTTGTACGGCATTGTACACAGAGTAGAGCAGACCCAAACGCACGCGGCCTTGGCCTCAAGCCCAGCAGAGGAACTATTGTACCAATATTATAATGTTACTAACAATAAGCTGTACGTGTAAAGATAAGACCATGTTCCTGAGTGGATATTGCCCGCATTCGGACAAATCTTGGCGGATATCCCCGAGGTCGACATCCTCTTGCGTGGCCAAGTGCAACCTTGGCAGGGTTGTGGCCCTTCGGGTCCGCGCGGGGCCTGCGCATGCAGTTGCAATTGCGCCCCCCCCCCCCGCAGAAGACCCAAACTCTGCAAGAGCTAGAGAGCGCCGGGGCTGCTTCCGCTCATCCAGTTGGAGATATAAAAATTTGGGGGGGAACAATATTTTTTTTTTCCTCCACAAAATATTTCCCACAACAAGCAACTGATTTAAAACAATTGTCATTTGCCCCATGATCTGCAAAGCCCCAATGGTGCCCCAACTTGGGCTCACTGGGATGTCGTGCAGGGTCAAACAACATACCCTTCCCCACTGGAGAACATGATGGAAGAAAAGAGAAGAAAAAGAAAAGCCTTCAAAATAATCGATTCACAGAAGTAAGGCCGGGGAAGCCATCCAACATCCCTTTTGGATGTAGCAAATCGGAGGGTTGTGGGAAATGAAAGGACCGCTCAAGCTGCGTCCCTTCTTCAGTAGGTCTTCCTGTTAGAACTTCCGCCTCCATGCACAATCGGACCGTGTCCCATGCACGGAGCCACGGCGATGTTGAGGGAGAATGGGAGACTTGCAAGTTCAAACTCACGCCGATAGGATGAGAATTTTTTGCCAGTCGCTGCTGCCCAGGGAAGTACTAGTACTTGTATATTGAAATCTCAAATCTTCTTGGCTCCATGTCACAAGTGGCCAAAGTTGGAACTCGTTGAAAAAAACGGGCGGCGGTCCTCGGCGAGAAGGGTCCCCAGGAATTGTGTTTTTTTTTTTTTTTTTTGGGAAACAGCGCCTCATAGGACAAACTATTCGCCAAGCGAGAGCGTTTGCCTGCCATCGCGTCAGAGTTGCGTTTTACGAAATGCGGAGCCCACGTACAACAGCCCGGCCCAAAATCATGCTTCTTAACTCTCTCTCTCAAGGTATTATTTCTTGTTTCCAAGTTTTCAACCATGAATCCGCGTTCCACGCCATTCGGGAGGGGTTGAGCTGATACGGATTTACGAAAATCCAATTTGCTCATGATAAGAAGGGGTTGTTTTTTTAAATCCCCCTTCTCCCTCCCCAAATCGCTTGGCGAGGAAAAAAAATAAGAATCGGGTGGCAGTGCCCGTCGCAAAATGCAATCGCGCGTGTCACGCGTCACCTTGCGCTTGTCACATGAGGCCAAGCCTTGCACGCACAACGGGTTTCAAGGCGCTTATTTTTTGGGCCTTAACGAAACCTAGGAAGCCAAAAAACTAGTTGTACAATGTCAATGTCAAGCCTTATCGCTTTCAACAGACTCGGAAGGGCTGCACCACCGCTGGTGATTGGCGCCCTATCTTATTTTGCTGTACCTGAGATGGTTACCCTCACTCCTCTCGTCTTGTTCATAGCGGCGCTGCTAGTTGCCACGTCCGATATATCTTCCACGCATACCCGATGGCGTTCAATTACTCTTGCATTCTTAGCTTCCGTCGCCGGATCATCCTTAGCATATGGCGGCTCATCTGTAAAGGCGCTCTCGTCGGCCGGTCAGTCCATTGTAGCTCAAATTTTGTTCTCATGCATCACAACGGCTACATCTCTCGTTCCCATTCTCATCAACAACACGTTCTTCCATAAACATGGACAAATGTTCAGCAGCTCATCAACAGCTATACTCATATTCCCTGCATTGCAGGTGACCGGTAACGTTATCGTTGCCCATTCCAGTCCTCTCGGACGTTTGGGCGTATGGTCGCCCATTCAGGGAATTCAAGGATACCGATGGATGCTACCTTACTTTGGTGCAGCGAGTCAAGACTGGATCACTGGTCTTTGGGCCATCTTACTCGCTAGCCACTGGGAATTAGTTTCGCCGATCAGCCAAGAACAGGATAGTCCGAAGCATAAACTGGTTGATGTCGAGGATCATCCCGAAGCGGTTTCCCCCAACTATTTAATCGAATATGATGGTAACCAGATCGCTCCCACCCACAGGACTGCTGCACAAACTACGGAGACACGATCATCATCATCATCCTCATGGACGGCTGCAGTTGACAATAAAGTTCCGAAAAAGCTCCTTTCGTTCACTCTATTGGCACTGGTTCTCACTTTACCTTCGTTTTTCCTCCCTCCTGGGGCAACGGGATCATCCCTTCCTTTACCCTCAGATTCATTCTCAGCCTCACCTCTTGTCGCAAACATCGCACTGGGTTGCATACTCCCTACCGAGCCAAATCTAAACTCCCCCAAGGCTCCTTCCGGTGCTTTTGATTCCTATCTAGCTGAAACAAAACGTTTTGGTTCAAGGGGGTCCATTTTCTTGTGGCCCGAAGGAGCCGTGACGTTTGAGAATGAGAATGAAAGGAAGAAGGATTTCAACAAGTCCAAGAGGTTCAAGGTCGCACGAAATTTGGATTGCAGTAGGATTTAAGGATGCAGATCCTGATACTGGAGGTGGTGATCCTACACGCGGAAAGTACAGGAGCGGACTGGCCGTCATTGGGCCTAGTGGTGTTGAACTTGAATATTACAAGAATCGCCTTGTGCCATGTAAGTGATCTGATGGTGCACTATTCCACGCATTTATTTCGAACCTGATACTAACGAGTTCCTATATAGTCTCAGAGTCATACTCATATGTTCCTTCGACGACGCCTCCCTCACTGGCACTATTAACATCCCCTATGGCCATAAGACATCTCATGGTCGTGCCCATTATCCCCTTCAAATCACTTCTTCAATATGCCTAGATCTCGCACACCCAGGAACTTTACTCTCACTTCCATCTCAACCTGAACTCATTCTCGCACCAGCAAGCGTATGGACCACTCAAATGAGTCAAGCAATGTTCGAAGAGGCTCATATGAGAGCGAACGAAGTGGGTTCGTTGCTGTTATGGTGTGATGGCTCTCCGAAGGGAGTGAGTGGTGTTGTTGGACAAGGTCAAAGTGGAAGTGAGCAAGTGGGACGTGGATCTTTCATCAAGAACGTTTCCATTCGTCTTCGTGGGGATGGAAAGGAGGCGGTCGTCATCGAGAAAACTCTTTATGCCCGAGGTGGAGATGTAGCAATCCTCATCCTAGTGTGGGGCCTGTGTGGTCTGGGACCATTGGGGACTAGTTTGATCGGTATGGCCCGGGCCCTTGGTGCTAGAGCGTCTACCTTATCGGCTCTTGGCTACCTGAGAAATGGTGCTCAACTTTTTGGTGAGTCCATTCGCCACAATTATCGGGTGCTTTTGGATCGTGTGAGTCCTTCGAGCGGCGTGAGGGTCGAAGTTCCCAATCTAATGGACTAGGATAACGGGGGGATTGTGATATGTACATGCAACGTCTTGCCGACGGGAGTCCTATACCAATACGCGTTTGAGTATAAGTTCTTTCGAGTTCTCGGTTCCATTTATGAGTTTGGAATCTCTTGCTTTCTCCAACTCTAACTCGGCGATATTGATCGGAACTTGTGACGACGAGTGTACGTACAATATTCATGTAACAACACTGCCGGCGGTTACGGTATTTAACGTCTTTCATCTCCCACCGAATCGGCTTTTGTATTTCTTTTTTTAAAATCTCCATTAGAATCGGCAGCTGCATGTTGGTTGAAGATATATTAATACATGTCAATCGGCTGCTCAATAAGTTACACACAGACAATCCACTGCGGAACACTCCGCAGGGGGAGGGGGGAGGAGGGACTGCAATTGTTTGGGTTTACTGTTGAAGTGGGGCACTATGGTTGTCCAACTGCAAATTCCATGGCCTCATCCGGCACAATGGCATCTTGAATGACGTCGGAAGACGGATCAAATGTAGGTGCATCATCAAGTAGCTGGTGCGCGCGGGATATAGCGCCCAAGTCAGGTCCATCTGATGCAGGTGCCGTTAAGATCTTCCCCGAGGTATCACCCGAAGCTTGAGCGATAGGAAAACCAAGCTCATCGGTCTCCTGTTGATCGTTCACCTGTTCGGGTCCTTCTTCTTCTTCTTCTTCTTCTACCGTACTGGGTTCCAAGACGGTGCTAGTCTGAACGTCTGGAATGTCAGGTGTTTGCTCAACGTTGTCCACGGTGGGTGGTGGAGTGCCGGGTTGATCATCATCCCCTTCGTTGTCGGCTCCTTCGCCTTCTGGAAGAGCAGATGCACGTTGAGCGTCTTCGAGCTCCTCGTCCACTACTATGGCGGGCCGTTCTGCTCGTTCATCCTCCTCGTCGCTGAAGTCCTGTGTGAACGGAGATGAAAAGTACGTCACGAGTGAGAGAACGTGAAAGGAGGGTAAGTGAGATTCTGCTGAGACTTACCGGCATTCGATCGGTTTTCACCCATTTTAATACTTTGTGCGTTGATCCAGGAAGCGCATTGTTAGGTGTCACCCATCGTCGTTCCCAGCACTTTTGTTTTTTTTTTTAAAAAAATAAACAAGTTTTACAACATAGCCAACTTGTGTTCGTTTCGTTTCGTAGATTGTCCAGAAAAAAAAAAAAGACGACTCACGTTGACGGGTTGTAGTCTTTGTCTTCGTTGAATTTCGTAGGGCGTACGGAGCGTATAGCCGCGTCGACTTGACATTTTCGGTCTTTTTTAAGTTCTGCAAGATGGAAAGTCGCGCGGCCGCGAACAAAAAGCCTAAAAGTCACCGAGAAAAATGTGTGTGACGGGGTGTGTAATCACGTGGTCATCGGACTGAATCAGGTGGGCAACGGAAAGGGGGGCTATCAACGATGCGGAGCAGTGAAGGGGACTCAAAAAGGCAGATAGAACTAGGTTAGGGGTATAAAGTTGTCAGGACAGTGGAAAGATATGGAGGCTGCGGATCGAGGGGAACGTAATGGCCTCTTTGAGACTTTGTTTGTTAGGGTGTTCGTTATGGGATGCACCAGCGGATTCGAATGATCAGATCAGAAAAAGGATGGAATTATGGGCAGGTGCTTCCCAGATGCCGATTAAAGGCAATGATACAGCGCACAAGAGATCGACAAACGGGGTTCCAGCTTAGCTTTGAGGTTGTTTTGCGTTAATTGCATCCGTGACCAAACACATTTCTTGTCACCGATCCAAAAAGACTTCAACTTTTCTCTGTCTCGTTCCCCTCTCTCTCAGTTTCCTTTTCTCTCCTCTTTTCTCTGAGAATCGGTTTTCTGTTCAGTTTTTACGCTCTATCGTGAGTCACGATTCGCCCTTTTCTCCGTGATTTACAAAGTGATTGACAAATCATGAAAATTTCCACAAGAGTTCCTCTTACTTTTCCGTTTCGTCGTATCCGTATCGCATAATCATCGTTGCTACCATGGCTACAGGTGCTGCTGAAGCTCCCGTGAGTTGCTTTAGCCAATTTCATCCCCGTTTTGGTGTCGCAAACGGGTGTTGATCACTTTTTTTCTTGCCTTAGCGTCGTGCTCATTTATACGTTGGAAACCTGTCTCCACGTGTCACCGAGTACATGCTGACGGAGATCTTTGCTGTCGCTGGCACTGTTCAGCACGTTAAGATTATCCCCGACCGTAATTATCAGCATGGTGGTTTAAACTATGGGTTCGTTGAGTACATCGATATGAGGGCAGCTGAAACAGCCCTTCAAACACTCAACGGACGGAAAATCTTTGATACCGAAATTCGCGTTAACTGGGCATATCAAGGCCAACAAAATAAGGAAGACACCACGGGCCACTTCCATGTCTTTGTCGGCGATCTCAGTCCCGAGGTAAATGACGAAGTGCTGCGCAAAGCCTTTGCTGCTTTTGGCAGCTTGTCCGATGCTCGCGTTATGTGGGATATGAATTCTGGAAAGTCTCGTGGCTACGGTTTCCTAGCTTTCCGGGACAAAACAGACGCTGAACAAGCCATTGCTACCATGAACGGTGAATGGCTTGGATCGCGCGCAATTCGCGTTAATTGGGCCAATCAGAAGACGCAAGGCAGCGGCGGAGGTGGCGGTGGCGGCGGTGGTGGTGGTGCACCCATGCATAGCCCTGGTATTGCCATGCAGGCACCTATGGCCGGTGGTGCTCCCGCTCCTATAAACTTCATGGGAGGTCCATTGTCGTATGAGGGAGTTCTGGCGCAAACTCCAGCTTACAACACCACCGTCTATGTCGGAAACCTTGTTCCTTACTGCACTCAAGCGGATCTTATTCCCCTTTTCCAGTCGATTGGTTACTTGTCGGAAATCCGCATGCAGGCCGACCGTGGATTTGCCTTCGTCAAGCTTGACACACACGAAAACGCTGCGATGGCTATCGTTCAGCTCCAAGGGCAACTCGTACATGGACGTCCGATTAAGTGCAGCTGGGGGAAGGATCGTGCGGCCAACGAAGCGGGTGCCGCAGGAACCATCACTGCGACACCTGGAGTGCAGCCTTACGGCAATATGGTTCGTTCTCATGTTTCCTTTATTAGTCGCGTACTGATCTTCGTGACTATAATCAGGCTGGATGGATGCCGCAGCCCAATCAGTACCCTCAATTCGGTTATGGTTATCCTGGGTTCCCCGGTGCACAGCAAGCTGCGGGACAAACTCCTGCACTTGCCGGCCCTGGAGCTAATGCAGGGCAGCAGACTTTCTCAGCAGCTGGAATTACTGGCGCCGCCCAACCTGGTGCGATAGATCCTTCGCAGGCTCAAGGACAGGCTCCACAGTGGGGAGGACAGGATCAGAATGCTTATGCTCAATCATACTGGGGTGGTAAGCGATCGTCTGCGGAAAGGAAAGATGTTGCGAGTTAACCAATCAACGATCTTTTAGGCTACTATGGCGGCCAACCCGATGGTCAACAACAGCAACAGACGCAGCAATCTTGAAAAGTAGATACGTGCTTCTGTGAGAGCATGCGTTTCAATTCTTGTCTTGATCCTTCGTGTGATTTTTTGGCAGCTTTATGTCTTTTGGTCGCATCCAATATTTTCTCTTCTGCTTTTTACACATTCTTCCTCTTCATTTTCTTCTTTCCCGAACTGAACTACAAGGAAGTTTGTGTATTATTTTGCCACAACCTGCCAATTCTTCACATTTTTACCGGTAGGATTTTGAAACTTAACCGCTCACTAGCTTGGTCGCAACAATACTTAGCCTTGTAACTAACACTTTGAGCTCTATGTGTGCCTCTCTCTTGAACCCTTCAACTAACACGTTTCCCCAAGCAGCTAATTCTTCACGGGGTTGTCACTACCGTCGGGTTCGACATTTGTTCGCCCTTCCGAATTCGTCAAATTCATATGAATTGAGTGTTTAATTCATGTCAAACCCATGTCACGCTTCCCGGCAATTCCCTCAGGCAGCCTTGACAACCCATTGTCAAGCAGGGGCGCTTAGGGATCTGTGTTCGTTGCGACTCGTTCATAATTTCTTCTTATCGCTTGATTTCTTGCTGAGCCAATTTCCCATGTATCCCTTGATTCTCTTTGCTTTGGCCTCCAGTCTTGTCAAACTCATTGGCGCCACTGGTAATGAATTAGCGATACCAGAATCGCTACACGAGGTTGTCAGTTTTACTGAGCACTTCCCCCACTAGCGCCCGATCCCTTGGCGGTTACGTTGGTAAGGCAGCAATTCTTCAACGCGCATATCCCTCAGGTCTGTGTGTGTCCTACCTGCCTGTGTTTTTGGGACCCCAACCGACATTTACGTATAAATACCAAAGGATGTATTAGAGGGTGGATTTAGCCCAAGTGCGCTTGTCAACTTGAGCTTTGGCTCTGTCGGACAAATGTCTGTTTTATTGTCCTATTGTTTTCCTTCGATTAGGCTGAAAGGTTGTTTCAGCTCGACCGGCCAGGCTTTGACTGTACGTGATGTTGGTTCACAGCCCAATGTTGTGGTTGAGAAAATTTTCATGAAGTGAGCCATTCCAAGGCATTTTTGACTTAGATCTGATGCGCATATTTCCCATCTTGCAGCAATGCGATCAAATATACCATATTGATGTTGGACTTGAGTTACCCTGGCTCGAGTAACACCTCGGGTTGGTGATGAGTCCCCTGGGCCACATATGATGCACTATATTCACTAAAATATCATTAGGATACAACCTTCATTGGCTTTCTAACAATCTCGGTAAGATGTCACCTTGCCCGCCGCCGTCATTTTCTGTTATTTGTCTAAACCATTGGTTTACTTCTAGTACTTGGAAACGATGGTACATTGTCCAGTGGAACTGTGGTAATCCCTTACGCTGGACCAAACCCTCCATCGGGCGATGGTCCTCATCGATACACAGTATTTCTCTTTCAACAGCCCACGACCTTCGTGGCCCCCTCCTCTCCCAAGCCCAATTCGGGGGTACAAATATTCAAGTAAGATTATTATGCGTCTCCAGGAATCTACTAAACAAACCCACGCGATAGCTTGACATCATACATGTATGCTTCCAAGTAAGTCAACATCGAAAAAATGCAAACACCGTCTGACGCCTATCACGATTAGCATTGGGTACCCCATCGGAGGAAATTACTTCACCGTGGAGGTTGGCACCGCAACCGTCAGCATTCTACCGACAACTTCCGTAGACCCTTCAACATTAACGTCAACAACGGAGCCCCTGAAAACAATTTCAACTGGAAAATATCATACAACAACTACTAAGGGTAGTGGAACCGCATTGATTACAAGCTTCGGCTCTGTACCTGGTGCATTGTCAAGTATTTTCTTGTTTGTCATGTTTATTTTCCAAGTAATGTGACGTCTAGATATTATGCTCCCTGGGAGTGGGGAGGGGACTGGAGCTGTACTTTTTTTACGACCTTCTTCCCGGACTCTGTTGAGACTCAATTTTCTCCGTTTGACGCCCACGTCATGTATATGAACCCATTGCTTGCCCCCTCCCACTGACCCGTTTGCTGAGCCGTTCACGAAATCCCTTGTCCTCTTCCTTCATCGCTTGCCCTTGCGTTCGTGTGCCAACATTGCCATTATTTACGAGTCCCTCAACATTTCGAATCCGCAACATCCACCTTGTCGCAGAGTCTGATACTGGAGTAAAGCGCCGGACAACAATATATAATTGCATAAAGATAACCTATTACTATCATTCATGCCATTCCCTCCAAGGGTAGCACCCTGAAGTTCTACAAATTTCTGAATGGCTCTACTTAGGGGAAGTCGCAGATCCTGGTGGCTTGAGAGAGAGCTTGATCTTAGGCTTGGATGGCGTTCCACCGCTTGATACTGAAGCTGGTGGCGAAGACGCCAGTGATGAACCACGGCGGATCTCACTTTCTCCGCCGAAGGCAGAGAGTGGAGGACTAGTAGCAAGTGGGGATGGAACGACGGGGTACGAAAATGAGCTGGTACGGTTAAATGCTGATGGCGGGACCGGAGGTGGAGGCATCAACGTAGCGCCGCCATACCGACGATCGTCTGCGGGGGAGGATGGGGGAGGGGAACCCGCAGGTGGGGACTTCGCTCCCCCAGGTGGATTGAATTCTGCCCATCGAGGACATTTGCGATTGGTTTCTACAATATTGTCAGCATTGATACGGAAAAAGTCACCTAAGACAGCGTACTCATGTGCCCAATCTGACCGCAATGGCCGCAGCGACGCTAAAACAATCCAACGTCAATATCAACAGTCTAGGGTTGGTGTGGTAACACACGGTAGTATCGGGTTTGGGTGCACGATCGAGAAAAATGGGAGCACCGCCGGTCGCAACAATCTGAGCATTCTTCCTCTGCAGCCGACGTTCTTGATTCTTCTGCATCTTGATTTGCTGCTCAATTAGCCTGTAAAGTTCTTAAGTATAGAATAGCGTGCGCGATCGAGAGAAGCGTACTTCTGACGAAGCAACGCATCCTTCGTTGGGTCGCCAGTGGGAACGATTTCTTCAAGAGGAATGCTTTCAAACTCCTTCTCCTCCCTCTTCTTCAAATATGCACTAATAACGTTGGGATCACGCACAATTTCGGTGCGCCATTCCTCTCCGTACTGTTGGATTGCACAAAGTTAGTATTGTTAGAACAATCCCAAATATATAGCGTACTCTTCTTCGGATCTTAAGGATCTTGCGGGATTGAGAAGAGTCATCCTCTCGAGAGGGCGAATTGAGGCGACTGAAACCAGGAGACTGACGAGGAGATTCGAACATTGGAGACATGTCCCTGCCTTCAGACTCGTTCTTCACGCGGTCCAAAGGATTGGTATTCCTATGCTCTTCCTCGTCGGAGAGCTCGGGAGGAACTTTGTCAATGAGGGAATCGTATTGTGCCTTCCAGATTCTCTCGATCTCAGAGCGATAAATATGCTGTTGCTGCTGTACATTGTAACGATGGCCGCTCTTCGGACGTTGCGCCTCCGCCTCGGCTGGTTCAACGTGTTAGACGCAATGAAACAGGGTGCATGAAAAGTAGCTTTGCTCACCTTCTTTCTCAGCAGGGTCTTCCCCAGCACGAACGAAAATATCTTTCATAGACACCCTGATAAAACTGAATGCTTCGCCTCGACCTGTGGGATCCCCAGGTCCATGAAGCTTAAGCATAGCCTTCGCATGGGTAGCGTTCACAAAATTCTTCGTAGTAATCCACGGCGCTAGCTGTTGCTCGATGTCCAACTTCGACACATCCCCGCCCTCGTCAGCCTCAGCAGCAGCATTCCCATAGCCGGCATCGAGCAGGTGACGCTGTCCCACTTGCATACTCTCCTGCAAAACAACCTGTTCAGGGGTAATCTGCTCAAGTATTTTGGCATCCGGCAAAACTTCATGGTTGGGTTTGAGGCGCCAATATCCCTGATGGGGCCCCGTTCTGTGATATTCCATGAATTCCTGAGCCTGATCGTTAGACTGAGACAATGGAACTGGAGATTGCTCACTTTCAGTCTCTGCCGCATTTGCAAGTCGTTTTGATCGGGGAAGTATTTCAGAACGCTGGGCAAACGCAGGCGTTCTTCCAAAGACTTTCTCAACAGCCTGTAGGTAATGAACTGCAGTCTGTATTTTAAGTTGTTTGTAATTTTTCTGGAGTGCGGTCCGGGGACCTCCACCACTGGGAATGTCTGGCCGACAACAAACAAAGCTTTGATCTCTCGGATATAACATTTCGTCTGCCCACCGATGGTGCTCCTAAGGTGCAGTTAGCAGATATGATTGATGAGCTTGTGAACGAGCGCACTTGATAACTAGGAAATCCGTGGAAGCGGGTTTATGTCGGAACACAGGGGCCCGAACTAAATTGTTGTACAGGGCGGGGATAGTCTGTCCTGGCGCCACGGAGCCAAATCTTAGGAAAGGCGACTCGTCGCTTGGCTCGAGAATGAATGGTTCCCCAAAATCAAGCTGGGTTTCAAGAACCATTCACGTATGTAGCACGGATGAAAGAGGAGAGTCTTACATTTGGAACGTAATCATCGTTCTCATCGCGTTTCCTGTAATAATTCACCAAAATGGAACCCATCCCGATGTTTGGAATAATGGGTGGGTGCTCTTCCTATCAATTGAATGGCGTTAGCAAGACCAGACAAAAACTTCCTGCAGAGAGGGTACTGACTGAATATTCCCAGATAACGAAAGGACCAGTTTCTCGTAAAGTGAGATCATGCATTGTCCGCAATGCTTCACTCGGATCGCCGCCCCCGGCCACTGTAACCCTTCGCCCGGACCTATCTTTTTTCTTCTTGGCAGTGCGGACCTTAGAGAAACGAAACTCTACATTGACAGGGAATTGAAGAGCTGGCCGATGGAATGATCGCGCCTCAGCCTTTGACAGTCGCGTTTTATACTTCGAAACAACTGGCGTCAGAGGGGGCTGTAGATGTAAAGAGAGGTGCGTACAAACGGCAGTTGCAGTTTGATAGCAGGATATGCGTGCTGGACTACGAGTTGCCCGAATGTTTGACGAACGCGGTGCCGTTGGCGGGTGATCTCATACGCTTGATCGTTGGATATGTTGTATTTATCCTTCGAGACGTTTTTATCACGATAAGATAGTTGTGACGGAGCCTGTTGCGAGAGCTGGGTTGATTCCGTATCCGGTTTTCTCTTTTTCTTTTTCCCTGGATCTGCGAACCAAGACGAGGTCTCAACACAGTACTTACACGAAACGAGGGAAGCCGGTATTTACCATCTTTATCTTTAGCATCTGCAATCGCACTTTTTGATGCATGAGTCGTGGCTTCCGAGCCATCATCTTCCAGTTGCAGCTGGGTGAAATCGACAAACGGTGTTTTGGAGTCCCAAATTATGCCCTGAATCCATGAGCCCGATTCCAAAGCTGAGTTGATAGGCCGCCGCAAATCGATGTTTTGAGGACGAGAGTTGGCCCTAAACGAACGTAACCCTTATGAACTTGGAGCTATACGATCAGGCACTGACATGCTTGGAGCGTATACGATATTACTTTCCCAGTCGGACAGATTAATAAGATCATAGCTGCGCTCGTTGAGGAGCACGTCAGCGTCCACGTTGACCAAATTTGACTCCAAGTGAGCCTGTGGGGAATAAATTGATTTTTGATATATACCTGACTAAGAAGGAGGCTAGCCTTAAGAGCTCTCCGCAAGCTGAGGTCTTCATTTGGATACAAGTCTGGAGGCTTCAACGCATCGTCTTCCTCGTGGGTCATTCCCCGCGAGACTTCGTGAATGTTGATGGGCTTGGGAAAGACCGGTGGTAAAACCGCACTCTTCGAATGATCATCTGCATCTTCTACTTGAAAACCCAAATAAAGTCACCAGGCATTACCAAGAAAAAATATTATGAGCACACCTGTCGGTAAGGGTCGATGCCTAGTCCGAGGCTTGCGGTCAACTCGAGCCTTCAACATCTTGGTCAAATTGAGGACTTTCCCTTTCTCAAAATCAGGCCAAACATCCTTGACGTCCTTTGGCTTCTTGGGCTCCTTGATAACCTTTCGCTTCTTGCGTGGTCGCGTTGCACCGCCGCTATCGCCGCCAAGCTTGGGTGGAGCACCATGAGCCACCAGGCCATCAGAACTACGAAGCGAACTAAGGAAAAAAGATTCATCCGGCTCCTCTCGCTTAATCTCATTGTCAACTTCGTCTTCAAAGTCTTCTCCTGCTCCGTGACCAATATTTCCATCACGATCTTCGCGTCCATAATCGAATGTGCTGAGACCAACTGCCCCAAGATTGACACCAGTAATTCCGAGAGAAGCTAAAACATCTTCAGGTACCCAGGTTTCAAGCCCACGAGCGATATCATCCTCGTCTGACATTCTGTCAGCTTCAAGCAGTTGGAAAGCACGTGATGACGAAGATGAAGTAAAATTGAAAAGATAGGGGAAAGAGATGACAAATTTTCAGCGCGTAATATTGCCACGGGTGTACGACTAGAAAGGTTGCTTCGCAACCATGACCTTGCTTCATGTGAAAATTTTTTGATCATAGTCACGAGTAGTGCTTGCTGGTATATTAATATTTGCATTCTTGTTGCACGATCTCTGTCAGTTCACAACGCTTAGTAGTGAATGATGGAACTGAGTTAACTCAGAGTAGTTAACAGACACAAAAAAAAGAACAGAATGTTGAGTTGAATCACAAAAAGGACATCGGAAAACAATGAGATGTCTGGTCTAAGATTTAGTGGTGAAGGTGGTTGGGACAAGTGATACATACCTTCTCACATTATTTCTGCCTTTTGGCGTTTAATGGGAGAGAAAGATGGTCCAGAGAATTGCCGCTTGGAGGGAGAGCCACTCTCTGCATGGTCGCTGACAAGGGGGGGTCCCTCAGAACAATTATCTCCACACAAAAGTCGCTTTCTTCCCAGCATTACTTCCTATCAAATGACATGCCAGCGTGAAAGAAACTTGGACAGTTGCTCCGGGAAGAGCAGTCGCATACTCCGTAGGGGGAATGACACCTTGGATCCCCTCGTGGTATGCATGTAATGGATTCGTTCACCACCTTCGCTCCTTGAACATGTTATCTCAGATGTGGATATTATCAGCTCACACACCAAGCAGATTAACGGAGCAAACCTGATTCGTTGTCGCTACCATCATCGCATCCATTCAGATTGGGTAGTCCAATTTTTACTTCGCGAGTCAATGTATGGTGTGCTGGGCTCCATTGGAGGCATGGTTCGAGATTTTAGGAGTCGGAAGGTCCCACAGATCGCGAGGAAACCTGACTATGGGTAAGCAATGCCTGATTCTCGTTGGTCACAACCGAGTGAGGATGGAACAGAGGTCAAATGTCAAAACATGTGATGTGTTCATAGGAATTTGCAATAGTTACATATTTCCCACGGCAATTATGACCTGGCAATGACCTTGCAAGCAAGGTAACTCTGTGCAGAGTAACAACCTCCCTGCTATTGGGGGTCGGCAAATGAGGGAAGCCGGTCTGAGAAAATAAAATGTCACGTGATTCCCAAAATATGGCCACGGCGCTCACCTCAAAGCCACTCCATTTAACCACACAACTTCTATTAAGTGTTGTATAATTATTGCCTGATAATAATATTAAAATGCATATGTGGTATGGGAACTCACTTCGAAACAGGTTTATACATAACTACAGTATGTTGGAAATGCACGCGCTTTTCTCATGCATCAGGGAGATTCTCAGAAATCTGAGTGACCAAAACCTGCATTCACACCCATAGAGCAATTGTGCCAATTTTGAAGCGAGTTGAAGTAGCGGAAAGGTACATTCCACTGCTCTGAAGCTGAGATGGATGTGGGCCCTAACTCTGTGCAACATATGTCTGTACTGATATAAAGACTGCACCGAAAAATATTCCAATGCCACTATAATACCCCTTGAAAGTTTCGGGCCTTCGCATGCTGTAACCACTAAGTTATGGGGGATGCAACAAAATACAGCCTCATGCACTGGGAATAACTTTTGAACCAAGTAGAATTTCAAAAATCTGAGTGACCAAAAGTTAGGCAGATAACACATCTACCAACATGCCAAAATTTGAGCAAAATGGAGGGGGTTGAAGGTACATTTGAAACTCACCTTTCCCAGAATGCCCAGATAGGTGCAAAATGGATCACGTGTCAGGCTTCACCGATGCGCGCTTGCCCAACTTGACTTTGACATCTAGGTCTCTTGCTGCTTTGGCTAGGCTTACATTGGGCTCGAGACTAAACCTTCCCATATCCCCTTCCTAGTCCCCCAAATGCCAAGGGATAGAGCTGCTTGGAAGTATTCCAAAAAAAAAGGTTTCTTCTCCCAAAACCCGACAGATCAACAAAGCTCAGAGGACTAGTTTGGCTAAATGACAAACAGATCACGTATTAAATGAGAATGCATTGCCAGGACTATCAACTCGAAGTTGCCCAACCTTTGGACCTATTCCATGACTGTCTGGCCACTATCTCTGTCACCGCTTGTTAGTGTGCAGTCTCATGGGGCTAGACTGGCTGGGAAACAGTCAGGGGAACCAGCAGAGGAAAATGTGAGCAAAAATGCGCCCCAGTTCAAAGGCACGAAATTCTTGAATCCATCACTCCCACTGCTGAGCTGCTATCACCATCCAATCCAAATGTCCCTCCCAGCACCTACACAGACAAAGCATATTTACCTTTCCAATTCTTTGGGGGGGGGACAATTAATCGCTTGTGGAAAGACAAAACAAACTTGACAAAGGCTGCTCATCGGATGGAGATTGTGCTTAGATCACACATGGCTCAAAAAATATTTATGTATTCATTTTCGCATGTAGATAACCACCAATCGATATTGTATTATTGTTCCCTGAGTTTTAACATAGCTTGCAACCTAAAGATGAGGTCTTGGGAGAGGGGGGATGGTGCGGCCACGATCGAGCCATGTTTCGCTTATGTAAGCGTCACAAGGTCACAGCCTTGTTGCCGACCCCCACTGCTATGGAGAGAAGGTTCGGCGTTTGCACTTCCAGTGGCCCGTGACCATTCCAGCTGGACAGCCATGGATCAAACAAGTTGCACGTGCACTCGACTTTTCTCGAAGCATGAACAAACTGCTGTCCCTTCCACCTATTCCACCTATTGGGTTTCGTTGGTCAACATTTAGTGGCCAATAATGTCTGTCAAAACACTCAATCTCAACTACTGTACTGGCACGACCAACAACCTGTAACACGTAACGCTGACCCACCTGGTCGGCACTTTTTTGAAATTTGTAACGCATAACGCAGGCCTTGGCGGTCCAATGTCCAGGTGTCATGCACTTCGAGCAAAATAAGTGGTTGTACAGATTTTCAATTCAAATCTTCCAAATTTGGCAACTACACTGTCAAAAGCGGTACCTCTCCATTTCCTTCTCCAGATTTCTCGCCCATTTAACCCGTCTACCCCGTCCCAACTCACCACTATCCACTTCAGACCCCACAGTGATTTCTCCCATGGATTCCGCATCAGCCTCTTCCGCACCAATCCAACCCAACTGAAGGCCGCCATTCATGTCGGCAAGGCCGTCAGGCAGAGTTCCACTGCCGAGATGTTCATAAACCTCCTCCAACATTACTTCTACATCATCCTCCGTGGCTTCATAGAATTGCTCTTCGAATACTGCTTCAGTGGAGTTGAGAGCAATACCACCATTATCAGTAGGGCGCTTGCATGGCATGGCTAAGGCTTGAGTGAGTGCAGAGTCTTGCTGTGGAAGATTGTTGTCAGAGACCAGATTCGAGACGAAGGGATGTCTCCGTAGCGGAGGGCTTCGGCCTCAGCGACTTCTGCCAAGAGCGCTGTGCCTAGTGACATGTCCGTGCCCTAACTTACTGACTGGCAATTAGAACCTAGGGGGGGTAACTCTAGTTGATTTTACTACTGGGGTGTAACCTATGTACAAGTGGGATATATATATGGTTACAGCGGAGACGGGTCCGCAATTGGCGGAGCCGAACGGAGCAGAGCTAATGGGGTTTAAACATTAGCCGACTGAATATTACTGACGAGTCGGTTCGCGGGGTTAGCGGAAAGGCAGGCGATAACCCAGAAACGGAAAGGAGGGATAGGCCCGAAGGTGGGCTCTGCAGGGCAGGTGAGTGTATTGCCCAGCAGAGGCGGGGGTGCGCTAGCGGATGTCGGAGCTGTCCGGAAGTCCTCGGGGCTCCGTACTTAGGGAGGCGTAGGTAATAAATTGAAATGAGGGGGTGGTGACCATCGAGGGGTACCGAGAGGATTGCGGAATACGGGGGCTCCGAGGTTAGTGAGGGAGGAGCGGAGTTAGACCGGAGGGATCGGAGGGACCGGAAGTCGATGGCCGGGGATGGATATGACAATTGTCGAGAATGGCCCGGAGTGAGGGAGATGTAAGGCTGGCCTGTGAAAGATTGAATTCACCTGAACGGCACAGTTCAAAAGCCTATAAAATATCAGATGTGGCCACGTCATCACTAGAGACTGTAACTTACTTTCTGGATTCGCTGAGGGTTATTTATTGAATGGTAGACGTCAATGAGAGTTGCAGGAACACGGTCTCTGAGTGTTCCAAGCCGTGTGTTGAGCAGGATATCGCATGGGCCAGCACCTCCTTGCAATTGAGAGTAAACTTCACGCATGACAGTGGTTTGTTGTGAATGCTTCACTGCAAGCTTAAGCATGCATTGAATACCAACATCGCAGGGTTGCCAAAGGCCTGTGCAGCCTCCAGGGATGTAGTCGAGGATGATCCAATGATAGTTGTCGAACATCCAAGTCCGGAACTCAAGAGATGTGTGAACAGACCACACATCCAGTTGCCAGATGCATTCTTGCAGCAGATTGAGCAACAGATGCTGTGGAGGAACCGTGTGCTATGGGACATCCAAGTGAGGAACTCGCCCGGACAGCCACATTCCCGTGGTAGCGTGACTACTTGGTCACAACACCTTTTTCTTCTTACTTATTTTGGTCACTTCGGACTTATCCGTGAAGACCACAAACTATATTCAATCTTTTGAATTAGTTTCCTTTTCCCTCAGTTCTTGTGCATATTGCTTGAGACTGAGGTTAGTTACTTTCTTTCATTTCTTATATCTTGTAACTTATTGTATATTACCTTACAGCTATTGGCACTAGGAAGCGGTTATTCCGTTAGATGCTCCTTCTCAGCAATGAAGTATGGAGCGAGGATATTGATAACGAATGACTTCATTGTCTTCAAGTTTGCCCAATAATTATCACTGCCTGAGAACTCAAAGAAGAATCGAAGCTGATTGGCTTCATCATGAGAGAGGGATTGTGCACTGGGAAGACTAGCCTTAGTTTTCCCCTTGAAGATCACCTGGAATGGCAGAAGGACCCCACTTGCGGAGATAGCCACATTCAAAGTGAACGCTATTGGAATATTGTCAGGGCACACCCGCCTGACCCGGCTCCACCTGGCCCAACCTGACCCGGTACCCTGCCGGTCCACCCTCCCTTACCTCCTCCCCCTTTCCCTTCTTCCCCCCTCATCCTCCCCTCCTCAGTTTCTCCTTATCTTACTTCTTCTTTATTCTCCCTTTATTCTACATGGACGACTTTCTCTGTATCAATGTACAATTGACCCATCTGCAGTGCGCCCACCATGTACCCGGCCCGGGCACCTCGGGCGACCTCCCACTGTGCCCAGCACGCGCGCCTGCACCGGATACCCTTGGGATCTCCCACGGAGACACCCGGGTGGTTATGGCTGTGTGTGAGGGTGACGTGGCACCCGTCATGTGATCCAAGCCGCATGTATATAAACAAACCTGAAGTGGGAACCAAAGAAGTAGCCTTCTTCTCAACTTTCCACTTCAGGTAAGCAGTGCAATATCTCTCCTTTAATGATAATAACAACTTTCCACTTCAGTCTAAGTGGCCAGGGACCACTGTCCCACATCGGGCCTGTCAGTATGCACGCCCGATCCGCCCCCCACCAGGCTCTCGGTCCCGGACACTATACCCGGACCCCCTCGACCCCGGACGAGTCCCTGACAAATATCAATGTCCATGCATACTGATATTTTCTTTATTGACATGATATCAATTGAGGATATCGTATATACCTTTTGTCTTGATGTCCTCTTCATTGCCGGTTATATGTCAGGGACTCGTCCGGGGTCGAGGGGGTCCGGGTATAGCGTCCGGGACCGAGAGCCTGGCGGGGGGCGGATCGGGCGTGCGTACTGACAGGCCCGATGTGGGACAGTGGTCCCTGGCCACTTAGACTGAAGTGGAAAGTTGTTATTATCATTCAAGGAGAGATATTGTACTGCTTACCTGAAGTGGAAAGTTGAGAAGAAGGCTACTTCTTCGGTTCCCACTTCAGGTTCGTTTATATACATGCGGCTTGGATCACATGACGGGTGCCACGTCACCCTCGCACACAGCCGTAACCACCCGGGTGTCTCCGTGGGAGATCCCGAGGGTATCCGGTGCAGGCGCGTGTGCTGGGTACAGCGGGAGGTCGCCCAAGGTGCCGGGCCGGGTACATGGTGGGCGCTGAAAGAGGGCTAGCGGCTCTCTATGCCGACACAGCTCGTGGGGGACAACTCTCCCTAAACTCTACTTTCTCCACTAAACTCGCTACGTTCTCGATCCTTAACTCCGTGTGGGTTCTCCGGGATTCCGCAAGGTCCGGGCTCAGTGTCCACTACTCACTTGTTGTGAGCTAGATCACTGCCCTTATTCCTACTGTTGGAATTCCACACACTCACACCCTCTCTAGTGCGTCCTAGCACCTTAGAGAATTTTGGGGGAGGGGAGAACTTCTATTCCAAAATCCGGTATGTACAGGATATAAGGAACAATTATTTTTAGAATAATTGATGAGAAATATTGGTACCATATGGCACCTGCATACCTTATTAGGCAAAAGTAATAAAAAAGGGTAACAGTAACAATAAAAGAATAATGATCAATAACTGAAATGATGGCAAAATATGAAAATATATGAAAATAAGCGATTTCTCAATGGATTTGCGGAATTAAGAGCCTAAATTGGAAATGTAGCCGGAGATAACTCTCACACAGCCAATAAGCATTTTTACCAATTTATTAGACGCCGTGGGAACGAGTGAGGCTGGAATTCTGGGTTGCCGCTTGAGATTCCCACGCCCACACATGCCCGTGACCTGCTGTGCCTAACTTCTCCAACACGGAACTCCGTCAAATCTCCACCGATTGGGACGTTCTTGGTATCGTCAGAATCGTACGAATTAGGACTATTTTTGGATACCAAATTTGTACCGAGTCGTCGCGTGAATGAAAGTTGTTTTCTGATCGTGGAAGTGGGTATCCGAGCCGAGTCTGTGCGTGGGCGATTATCCCGCCTACAGCGCGCTGCAGATGGGTCAATTGTACATTGATACAGAGAAAGTCGTCCATGTAGAATAAAGGGAGAATAAAGAAGAAGTAAGATAAGGAGAAACTGAGGAGGGGAGGATGAGGGGGGAAGAAGGGAAAGGGGGAGGAGGTAAGGGAGGGTGGACCGGCGGGGTACCGGGTCAGGTTGGGCCGGGTGGAGCCGGGTCAGGCAGGTGTGCCCTGACATTATAGCAGGCAGTCGCTATAAGCGATATTAGCGCTAGGTGTATAAAACACACTGTGCGCGGAAATTTTTCACACCCCCTCAGTTCTCTTGTTCGAGACTGAGGTGATATCCTTTTATTTTACTTTATTCCTTGTATGCGAGTTCTGACTGTATTTACAGACCACGCGTATAGGTAAAGGAACAATAAAATTAGTTCTCTTGTTTGAGACTGAGACTGCGCGTATAGCTTATTTACTTTAGGTCATGAGCCCAATGTCTTCTACTGCAGCAAACGATGCTACTACGACTAAAGGTCTCCACAGTATTGATAAGCTTAAAAATGATGGCTGCAACTATCGTATGTGGGCTGTCCGATGCCGAATGGTTCTCATTGATCGAGGACTTTGGGATTTCGTCGATCCCAAGTCGAAGACCTCAGACCCCCCTCATCCTCCTACCTCTACTTCCTCCTCATCTTCCTCATCCTCCAATACCTCCTCCTCTGACCAAAAGGCTGCAGCACCTGATCCTGTGATTGTTGAATGGGACAGGAAGAACGATGCGGCTTTGACTCGGATTGCACTTACCATTGATGACACACCGCTCGCCCTCATTGACGGTAAACATTTTGCAAAAGAGGCTTGGGTTCAGCTATTCAAACGGTATAATGGTGTTGGTGCCCTAGACGCTGCGAGAGTAATGACACAACTTCACCATTATCAACTGGATGATTCCAAACCGTTGGAACCTCAACTGATCCAGATGCGTGAACTTCGTGATCGATTGGCGAGTCTAGGTGATGACTACACTGACACCAAGTTCGCCATGATAGTGTCGGAGGCACTCCCAGAATCGTATGACATGCTGTAATGGGTCTATCTATCTAGACTCGTGGCTCAGGTCTGGGGGGGGGTAGGTCTCTCTCTAGTGTCAGACAGATGTAGTGGGGTCCTTGGGTACGGTGCTGATAACCCTCCCTAACTAACTATACAGTGGGTCACGGAAGAGTCCGATACAAATAGAAAAGGAAAGTCACATGCGTGAATGAATGAAAATAGTAAAGATAATAAAGAAAATATCATATCTCCTCAACAACCCAACCAACTCCAACGATCTTAGACTCGTCAGAACCACCTCTACAACCTCTACAACTCCTACTATTACCCCGACTCACCAATCCTAATCCCTGATGCAGTAAAGGGTGAAGTGTGCAATGAGGCTTGTTTTAACCCGCACGGACTTGTCCCCACAACAACACTCAAGCAGATCGCCCTTGCAGATCTTGATGACGCATCGACAATAGCCTGTGACAAACTCATAGCCCAAATCCTCAGAGAAGAGAAAAGGAAGAACAAACCTGCTTCGTCGACTGCATTGGTTGCCAAAACCATAAAAAGCGCTGACAAAAGTAATGGTAAATCTGATGGGAAGAAGTCAAAGAAAGAACGCCCGTGCTGTACCAACCCAAACTGCAAACGGCAGTTGGGACATACCTTCGAATGGTGTTGGGCTGAAGGTGGAGGTTCCGAAGGGCAACGCCCAGCCAAGTCCGGCAATGGGCAGAGTTCTCAGAAGGGTGCTAAGAAAAAAGACGCAAAGATTGATGTCCTTCTTGCAGAAGAACATGCTGCGATCGCAGACAGCGATTGTGCGGAATGACTGAATGGGTTATAGATTCTGGAGCGTCATCTCACATCTGTGCTAATCGACTCTGGTTCTCGACATACTCACCTCTCCTTCCTCCATGTCCAATCTATCTAGGCGATAAACGCACCCTCTTTGCCATTGGTCAAGGTCAAATCGAAGTCGTTCTGCATAATGGAACCAATGACCGACAAGTTATCATCAGTAACGTGCTGTACTGTCCAAAGATTGGCACAAACCTCCTCTCCGTGACACAACTAACCTCAGTTGGAGCACGAGTTTATTTCGCCCCCAGTAGTTGTCAACTTCTTAATCCCAGCGGTGAACTCCTTGGAATCAGGAAGGCTCTGGCGGCCTTTATAGGTTGCCTTGCATTGTGACAGGTTTAGAATCTGTGTATATCTCTAGGTGTGCCAGGGAAGGTAATGTTGAGGCCGC